CTGTCAGAGTGGAAGGGGGGCGGGTAGATTTGGGTTAATGAGTAAGGCGAGTGCATCTTTTCTGGGTCGGGTTGCGAAAAGGCAGTGCCGTGGAGTTGCAGCCTTGCTGGATACTTGCGGTTGCTCCGCTGCCATTTGGGGGGTGTTTATTGCTATTCGGGGACACCACTTACTTTTGTTACTTTTGCTCTGCTCCATTGACCAGGAGCCTCCAAAACGACAATGCTTTGTCAACGGTTCGTAAGATGGCTCCGGAGGGGTGTAATCGTCCCAATTTTCACAGAGAATTGACTCTCACAACTCTCTGTCATATTCTGTCCGGCTTCTCCATCTCTCTCTGTGTGACTTTGTAGCCTGTCTCTGTTGATCATTCATGGCACGGACGGAAGTTCCGAAAGGGAAAAGAGGAATGAAGGTTCCACTGCGGGAACCTTCCCATCTCCTGCCATGAGGTCGTGCAACCGTGGTTCGTCTATGGGCATGAGAGAGAGAGCGATTGATTCGTACAACCTCGTGTTCGTCTTGCGTAACAGTCGACTTTGTCATGTATCTGTAAACTGCTTTGCATCCGTATGTTACGGATACTTGTCACTCACATCACGTTCCACTCTATCTCGGTGCGCGCGGGTGGGGTGGTTCGGTATTTCTTCATAGAAAGTAAGCATTTACCGATAGGGATCGATGACGCTCGCCATTTGAGTCAGATATCGCGGGTCCGTAATAACTAGGCTGCGTATCACTCATTATCTCAATGGTACGTGTAAACCTGTCAAATCTGCCACTGCAATCCTGCATCTTGCAGGGAGGCATCCAAGGGAACGGGGAAGGGGTACTTTTCCCGCTAACTTGATGCCATGAGGAATCAAGAAAACTAGCCAGATGCTGGGAAAATGGGGATCTTCTAACGACGGGACCAGGAACGGAGGTTCGTCTCGGATGTAGTGTAGTGTGAAGCAGTAGTGCCGTTTGCTAGTGCCGTTCAAAGGGTGACAATTTGCGATTTTCGCGATTTATTCATCGGGATGGCCCCCTTCTCGGCCTGGTTCATCCTAGACAAATCGCCGCACATCAATCTCACCAAGCTAAACTTTCCTACTGCCGCTACTACCTTCCCACGCGTGACTAACACTAGCCCCGATTGCTATGTAAACTATCTCGTCGATATCAAAGCAGCGTGCGTACGCAATCGCCTACTGGGTCCTCCATACTCCGTAAGTTAGGGGTTCGTTCCCATGGTTGACGTTGGAGGTGAAAATGAAAATGTCTTGGCAATTTCTCCTTCGCCCTGGTGCTAGGGTCAATAATGTTTTGGTCCGACACTGCGGCGAAAGAAGAGGATGCGCCCCCCTTTCCTCTTGGCACTATTCACTCCCCCGGAACCACCCCAGCGCATTACAACCGCGGCTTAAGTTTCGAGCGCGTAGGCGATGGGACGGACGGCTTGAACTTTGTTCCCCATATCCCATCTTCACCCTGCGCCCTAAGGCTCTTCATCATGAAGATGAGCGCAAAAAGTGAACCCCCTCCCCCCTTGAGCCAAAGAATCCTTACCGTCCTCGCCGCCTTGCCCTACCATGCGGTCCATGCCACCGCACCCCCTTCAACCCTTGAGCGTCCTGTATTCCTTCCTGCTCGCCTGGTGCCCTGGCCCTGATTCTGCCCTGCTGCCCAGTCTACTCTACGTAAATAATCTCCGATGGGGCGACGGGGCCCTTACTAGCACCTGGGACATCGCAACTGGGCTGTGAAGGGGGGAGGGTGTGCGGAAGGGCGGTGGTTTTTGGGTCGTTTTGATGCGTTCACATGGTGGGCGTGTGTTCTTGCGCTATGGGACTACACCGGGTCCACATCTTCACTCACCCCGTTCTGAACGGGGAAGGGGGGGGGGGGGTCCGGTGGTTGGGCGGAGGGAGGCACGTTTATTGTCAGATGCGGACGGGTTTGTTGTTTGGTTATGGATGTTATGGCCGTAGCGGACGTCGTCATCATGCAAAACTTTTGATGTGGGTTTGGAATAGGAGAGGGATAGAGACTTGGTGTTGGAGATTGGTGGCGCTGGGCATTCCAGCCCTAACGGGTGATGTGGGAGAGACCAAGGCCGTAGGGTCCGGATCCGATTATAGTCGCTCTAGACCCATCATATGAGCGTTTAGTGTTGATTCTAGGCTCTTGTTTTTTGCGGGGTGAAGGGTGAGAGGCATTCGGTCTAGAAGGTTGGGATGCGTTGGTGGAACTCCGGCACTTTTTTTTTTGGTTCATTTGATATTGGGACTTTGGAATTGTCTGGCAGCCTGGCAGTCTGAACTAGCGCGTGAGAGGGAGCTTATTCTACGCCGTCTCTCATTTGGCTTGGCTTAGGCTGAGACCATTGGCGATGTGATCGGGCTTACTCTATGGTCGGACCACGCAAGAGACGGGATGCGAGGAAGATGCGGAATTCCGAGGTGTTTCGGGGGTTGCTGACTGTGAAGAGCCCCGTATGGACAGCAAGGCTGGCCAGTGGACGGTGGACCAGAGACGAAAATGAGGTATCGTAAATGAGACTTGGCGATAGCGAGTAGACGTGTGGGAGAAGCTCTTTCGAATCGATCTGACCATGATTTTAGTCAAGTTGCTTAGGGTTGCATCCCCAAGACCTGATGTAAGCGTCGCAGAATGCTGACGATGATGACGGTTCCTGAAAGTCAGAGGGACGGCGTCACATTTCCTTGATCCGCCATCTCTGTCGAGGGTGATGCTCAGTCAGCCCCCCTCTTCCCGAATGTTGCGTGACGCGGTCCGGTGGGCTGTGTAGTTGGTGATGAACATCGGGGATCTCGACTTCACGTGGTTGATCGTGCTTTCCTGCGGCACAGGGCTGGCTACATGCGTCGGAGACTAGTGTTCGATGGGCTGTCGGTAGGTGGGATGGGAGGGTAGGGTGAGTTCGATGCGGCGGGATGCTATCAGGCGTGTCTCTTTTGTGGGTGTGAAGGTTTGTTGGCTCAGCTGTCAAATGTTGAGATGAGCCGTATGTTGTCCAATCCGGAGACGCGCATCTGGGCTGGCATCATGTCAGATTCCGGTGCCCGAAAGATGTTTCCGCATCTTCATCCTCCTCCGCGCTGATCCCTGGTGATCTCCATGTTGCTGACGAAGTGCCCTAGAATGCTTCTTCGGAATGTCGTATAGCGTTGGATGGCTTGCGGAAGTCCTCACGCTACGTCGAGCCTCGTGGTCGACTCGTCTTCGCAAGGACCGGTCTCGGGGGCGTTGTTGTCGGAGGCACACTTTGCCGGCCAGACGCTGGGTTATCGAGCTGTAGATGCCTTCTACTAGCCTGATCTGACATACTGTCAACAATGGCGGAGCTGGCTATGAATGCTGCAGCAGACTATTCGAATCCTTGACGTCCTCTGACTGGCCACGGTCTTAGCATGAGCTCCGTCTCTAAAGTCCGCTGACCAAAGTCGAAAGAGTGATGATCTCGTCCCGGGTATCCGACAAGATAGATACATGGGCGGCGGTGGCGTCGTGGTCATCAAAGGCGAACCTCCCCCGTGTCTACTCTACCGGGACGGAACGGGGGCGGAGTAGTCCGTTGTTATTGTCGTCGCGAGGAGACGGCAGAACTCCGCATCAAGGCGCACTCGGGGGCCGTTGGCCGAGATAGTCGCCGAAACCGACGCCGAAACCGAGCCCGAAGTTTGGGAAAGATTCAGAACTGTCCGCCGCCCCTCCTAACTCAGCCTTGCTTCCAACCGCATGAAGTCGGCGGGCCTCGAATGCGGTACCCGTGAGATACACGCCGGCGAATTAGTGCTCATGGAAGGGACTAGGCTTAGCCTTCTTGGTGCCACTCGTGGGAGGCGGAGGGCGTTGAATGGTTCAAACACGGGGTTGAGGTCTTGTCAAGGACGTCAGAGGTTGAGGACGGAATACTTGCCAGATCCAGGTTCATGAGGATCGCGCGATACTTTAGGGCTGCAGATTGATTGAAGTACTGGAAGCTGGGGGCGATGTGATGCTTTAGCTAAGAAGCTTAGCCTCTTCGTTGTTTTGAACGACATATGAAGTCCAGTGGAAACCTCTTAGTGAAGGGGAGTTACCGGACTTTGACGGTATGTCGATACTTCCGGAGAATAACATTAAAGGTGGACGGGGGTCTTGTCGATCCACGTGAATACGTGGAAGTGGATTTGAAACTTGGGGGCTATGATTGGCTGTTCCTATCCGTACGGCGTATTGATGCTTGGCCTACATAGCCGTGATCTCTAATGTAAGCTACTTACGGCCATTGGCTTGGCTGTAATGCCGTAGACGGGAACAGATTGTTCCAGACGGGCCTTGACGTGCAACGTGGTTGACCGCTCGACTGGGCTCTCTGAATGGGCGGTGGGCGGTGTCGTGGTATTTCTATTGAGAAATCGTAGTTCGTCTCCAAACTCCGCGTATTTGAGCGTCTTTATGTTTGGTGTTGTGCGCTGTGGTAGGTCGCCATGACGTATCGTAAAGCTGTCTCCGCGTATAGGCTGGCTCGGCAACGCCTGAGCGGCACCGCGTTTCACTGGGAATAGATGCACCTATGCCTGTAACCACCCACCACCTCCGCAAAGACAACCATGCAAAATGGTCATCATACAATCTCTGATTGGCTCTCGAAATTTCCCGTGGAGTTGTAGATGGGGAGTTTGGAGCGATACCGAAATGTTCGGACGGGACGATCTGCGGACAGCGATATGTTGGCATGATTTTGAATCAGGGGCGAATGGACGGGGAAAAGACATAGCCCCGGTGTGAGGAGAGGGCTGGCCGTCATGATGTATGGTCACCTCTGGATAAAACGGAAACGAATGTAGGGGGCGGGAGATGTACGTACAATGAGCTCTCGGCGTTATTGAATATAAATAAGAGACCGTGAGAAGGGTTCGTCGGAAGAAAATTGGCAACAGACAGAAATCATCTCATCTTTCATTCGTTTCTTAGCTCCTCAAACTGACACCAATATTCAGCAACTCAAAATGAAGCAGTTTTTCACCTTCATCGCCGCTGCTTTTGGCGTGGCCTCAGCCAATCCTCACCTGACTGCTGCTCACTTGGCCAACCCTCACTTCCGCAGAGCTTCCCCCACTGAGTGGACTCCTGCTGGACCTGATGACTGTGAGTACACTATACTGATGAACCAAACCTGAGCTTCCAGTGCTGATAATGTAGTCCGTGGCCCATGCCCAATGATGAACACTTTGGCCAACCACGGCTTCATCTCCCACGACGGCAAGAACCTGACGAAGGACGTTGTTGTGAAAGGTCTTCAGGACGGTCTCAACTTCGGGACCGATCTTGGAACCCTGATGTTTAACATGGCCCTTATTGCCAACCCAGAACCCAATGCCACATTCTTCACTCTGTAAGAAGCCCCTTTGAAGTCTTGGCGCAACGCACCACTAATCCAACATGTATCAGGGACCAACTTAACGTTCATAATGTCCTGGAGCACGATGCTAGCTTGAGGTAAGTTTAAGCTCTGCCCGTCTGTAGGAGAACAATGCCTCGACATATTTAGGCTTTGGTTCTTCCTGTTCGAGCTATGGAGCGATGAGTATATCCAGACTTGGCCTACACTAACACCTTGTCCACAGTCGCACCGATGCTGCCTTTGGCAACAATCATGTCTTCAACCAATCCATCTTCGACGAGTCGAGAGCCTACTGGACAAAGGATACCCTGGATGCGCAACAGCTTGCCAACAGCAAATTGGCACGACAGGTCACCTCAAGAGCTTTCAACCCCAACTACACCTTCACTGCAACCGTGGAGAACTTCAGTCTTGGCGAGGTCGCTGCCCCCATCATTGTCTTTGGCGATGTGACCGCCGGAACCGTCAACAAGACACTGGTCGAATACTTCTTCCGTAAGAGACACATCAAACATAGCTTCTTGAGACAACTGTAGACTAATATGTGGTTTGCAGAAAACGAGCGCCTTCCTGCTGAGTTGGGCTGGGTCAAGAAGGAGAACGCTGTTACACAAGATGACATCCTCAAGGTGGTCGAGATGATTAGAAACGCAACTGTGCTTACCACAGGTGGCGCGGCTGAGGCCCCTCACAAGCGTATGATTAGGGACTTGCACACTGGCTTGGGCCTGCTGTCCCAGTGAGGCATTTGATCTTTGCACTGATCAGTACATGTAATTATGTGTACCTGAGCGCCACTTTCTCTTCACATGTTATTTATCGTAAGGAGTTTGACATATTAGCACTGCTCTTTCTCAAAGATGTATTCGAAGCAACATTACCAAGCATTGCAAGATTTCCTAAACACGCTGTGGTCCACAGCCGCCCGGTCAATTACGTGAGCTTTCAGACGGAAGTTCTTATCATAGACCATAGCTGGCTCATAGACCTAGTCGCACCGAATCTTATGTGTAATTGAAGTGCGGACATAACGGTTTTTATTCTAATCACATAATGCCAAAATATCGGTATCACAATGAAAAGGGTGTCCAAAGCTCCTTCTAAATGATTGAGCAAAATTCACAGGTGGCCGCCTGTTAGTGATTTCGACACTAGCGTTGATAGCATGTAACTTCTCCTCATGAATACCTCATTCTGAGGCTTGGTAGGCGCGCCGAAAAGTATTGGTAAAAAAGTTATCGAATCGTTATTACTTTGCGCGAACCCCAGCTTTTGACCCACAACCTTAACATGGGATAACCGCGAGAGATTCCACTCTAAGAAGCACGCTCTAGCGCGCCCGTGACGATGTGCTCTAGTTGACTAGTGCTAGGCTCCCATTGGTGGATTTCACCAAGGTTCATGTGAGGTAACAGTCTTTCGGTTTTTGATATGACGAGGTGCAGCATTCAAATCAAAACATGGGGGCCGGACAACCGGAGTAGCTGTTCATAGGTCGGTAGGTATGAACGTCGACACTGCATTGCGCGGGGTACCCGGAGTAGTTGTTGATATATATCTAGTGGCCGTTCCTGGGCTGAACGATCATTGTAGTAAGATGTGAGCTAAGACGCACAATCCCTGATTATATACTGTCCTTGGCGCAGCTAAGAAATATGAAGTCTGTTTTAGCATTGGCCTGGGGGTTTCTCCTCAGTGGTGCAGTCGTAATGTCGACGGAGGTCAACAGCGATGGATTTCTCGATGCCCATAGAGTTGTGAAGAGGTAAGAAAATCGGAAAACACGTTGATAACTACTTCGTTCTAACAAATTCTGTAGACTCAAAACATCGCAAATCACGTACTTTCCGGCAGAGAATTCGACTGGTACCGGAGTTCTCGTTTGTCCCGGAGGCGGATATGCCCGCGTGTCCATATCAAAGGAGGGCTACATTCCTGCGGGGTTCCTGAACAAGCTCGGCATTGATGCTTGGGTTCTTGACTACACTACTATTTCAAACGCAACGGCACCGCTCTATCCAACACCACAAAATGAGGCACTGGACGCCCTCGAGTACATCAGAGCGCAGAACCGCACCACCAAACTCGGGATTTGGGGCTTCTCGGCAGGCGGTCATCTCTCTGCCGTAACACTCACCAACCCGGAGGCTGGTCTTGATTTTGGCATCCTCGCGTACCCTGTCATTACCCTTGAGGGAAACTACACGCACAAAGGCTCGCGAGACAACCTCATTGGCGCCAATGCGAGCGCGGAGTTGCAGCACGAGCTGTCAGCGCAGAATCGTGTCTCTGGGACCACCCCGCCAACCTTCCTGTTCCATACTTTTAGTGACACCACTGTTCCTGTGCAGAACACGCTCATGTTTGCGGAGGCCATGGCAGTCTACAAGCGGCCAACGCAAGTGCTCATCATCCCGGAGGGAGGACACGGACTTGGCTTAGCCCTCGATGACCCTAAGCGCAGCTGGACACCCGAATTGGCGCGGTTTTTGAAGTATTCGATCTAAATTGTAGAAGCTAATCGAGTCTTGGAAATCTCAACTATCGCTGAGAACTGTGATGGATGTGATATCTCGTCGAGGCAATGGATAGAGTCTGAGCAATAAACTGTTACGCGATCAACGTTACGTGCTGTTCATTCTAATGTGAGTGGCTCGTCATTTCTTCCGAAACTTGGCCAAGAGGCCCTTAGCGACGACATATGATCAATCGTCGTGTTTGAAATTGCAGTTATTAATCGTTGCCTCCGAGTTCGCTCCGGACCGTTCAAGCAATGATTCGAAAGTTTATGAGTAAGCAGCATTGCACCACGCTTTGAACAAGGAACGTCCCTTGAACTCTGACAGCCAAATGACACGGTTTCTAGAATTGCCCAACGCTTCTGCAATGACATGCAGGCGTACCCTGGAGATTTGGCAATAGGGGTCGGCAACTGAGACGAAAAAATTTCCGTCAATGACTCTCGGTGATGGTGATCGCATTTCCGCTCAGGAGATGGTGGAATTCTTTCATTCTCACTCCTGTAAGCGTTGATTTTCTTCATCACCACACTCGTTATCACGACGTTCGTCATTAAGTTGCGATATAATAGAAATCATTGCTATAGAACGCTCGTCTTTACACTTATTCCATGCTTGGCTTGTAGTGCCTGAGTTCAGAATGGCCCACTCACGTAAGTCAGCCCCAACTGCGCAATCCTCACCGTGCCCACCGGCATCGTCGGAACGTAGCTGATCTTCAGACTAGATTTTCCCGCCACGGCCAACGAAAAGGTACCGGCACTCTTCGGATGTCCATGTGTATGGAGCCATGTGCCGCTGTACGGCGATGCACAAGAAAAGCGCCGATATCACCATGCGCTGGCTAAGCCGAATGCCCCTGGCATTGCGCGACGTCTGCCCTCTGAAATTATCCTCTGCATTGTGGATGCACTATTCGATTTGTACGCCAAAGAGGTTTCTCTCGGTTATGAAAAGTATTGGGAGTCATCCTGTCTACCATATGAGACCGAAAAGATGTGCCCCTTTTGCATGCTTCCTCGCTTTGACGTTTGGCGAGACGTTGCAAACTTGGCAGCTTCGTGCCGCGCACTCTACGAACTTATCACGCCTGTGCTCTATCGGAGGGATGCGGAACAGAACCATTCTTCAGCTCTGCTAATCTCAGCGAAAAGGGGCAACGTCCGGGCCCTGAAGCTTGCGTTGGAAAACGGCGCAAATGCAGATGCGGACGATCACACAATGCCGCTGCAATGGACGAACGAATGCTTTCGGTATTGTGAGCATTGTGAGTACCAGGTTTGGTGGAGGGAGCCACGGAGACTCGACATGAGTGCACTGCACTGGGCGGCATTGTGCGGAAGGGAAGATGTCCTTGAAATTTTGTTGAACCACAAAGCCGGCGTGGGCCCCAACAAGAGGGCAGTAGTGCAACCGGGACTGGATGCAGGGAACTATGGCTCGCTGCCGTATGTGGAGGACTACTGCGACGAATATAACGCCAGCTTTCCCTGCCTGGCGCTGCAGACAACGATGGGCTACAACCCCGTGAGCTCTCACGGAGCTAACGCCCTATACTTCCTATTAGGAACCGGTAGAATGCGAGCGCACGAAAGGACCGTGGACATGGCGAGGCTTCTTGTTGACGCAGGCTCTTCATTGACGACACACGAAGCTGCGGAGCTTCATGCTCTCCATCAAGCAGCTGCATACGATAACGCAGAGCTAGTGCAATTTCTCCTTTGCGAAAGGAAAGTCGACCCCAATATCACGGATGCTGCCGGAAATACGCCGTTACACCATCATGTCGACTCAAGGTTCAGGGTTGAGGGTGGCGCAAAGGATACAAAGACGTTATCACTCCTTCTGAAGTACGGTGCGGATCCCAACTTGCGGAACGTTGATGGGTTATCGCCGCTAGACATTTGCCTCGTCACGACGTTGCTGGGCGCTGACAGAATGAAACTCTCCGTGTTACTTGCTCGGAGCGGAGGGACGCTACGAGATCGAGACTTGGGCCTTCACAGGTCAAGGCTGACCGATGAGCAACGAGAAGAACTAAATACTGCATTTGAACAAGCTAGACATTCCGGGAGAACTGAATGGACCGGAAGCATTTGACGGCGTACGAGGATATATAAGTACAGTGTCTGGGGTTTTGCGTCTAGTAATAAACTGTCTGACGTACTTGTAAGCATGGGTAGTCGGTTTTGGTCATCTATGAATGAAGTCTTTGTAGTTAACTTTAGCTCCTTTTTCAGGCAAAGCTCATCGATTTGAAATTAAGTGATTCCGGCCATTCCCTGAACTCTAGCAACCTTTCAACATGACCAGATATTTGTTGTTCGTAAGAATTACAGAACTCAAGGGCCGGCTGTGGAAGGCAGACTGAGTGGAGAAAACTACTTACTCCGTACATTTACCACCGTTTGGCCCCATAGTCGTCGTCTGCATGGAAGAGTTTAGTCGGGCGTTCAAATGGAATCCAGGCCACTTTCCGATGTCGTTGTTCTCTTGGATCAAAAGCACTTCAAGGTTGTCAAGTGATCGCCTTATGTGTCACTATATGAGTGGGTCATAGCAAAGTCCGAGACTTATGGCTTGTTTTCCTAGGTCCTTCGGCTCGGAAGAATCAGTGACGATCCTAGCATAACCTGCAAGTTTGGTAGCAACAACTGTATTAGAGTGGGCAGACAGCATTTAGCTTCGATCCCTACTTTGAGAGCCGATGGGAAGAAACAAGCTTCCTATACATGTGAAGAGATGAGACCACGAAATACCATCTCTAGTTTGACCAACTTTGGGTCACATTGGGTCATCGGTAGGCACCGACACGTGGAACCCCCACCCCCAAGTGCCGGTCCGGCGTTCGCCCACAATCCAGCAAACCCAGGAAGTTCAGACTCGAGCCCACAAATTCCGTTCTGACAGGAGAAGCCTCCAATGGAATTGGCTTTCTGGCTCCGTATTGTTTCAATCGCCTGGGTATCGGATCTGCACATCGGTGTCGGCATTGGGCCGAACCCACGTTACAAACGTGAATCGCTGCCCCTTTTCTCGGCGTGGAGTTCAACCCTTTCGCAAGCCGCAGTGCGTGGTTTTCCTGTGATAGAGTCTTCGGCGTTTCTATTTAGTTGGATGGCAAGCGGACGCTGGACGTCTGAGGACGCGTCTCCAGGAGGCCAGAATGCTCAAAGCATCTGGTGATGGGCTGGTGCCGTCCATGCCATTCTTTATTGGGGTTACTAATACCTGTCTTGCCCGACGGCCGTAACCTACTCATTTTTCTCATACAACGGAACAAGCGGACAATTTCTGACCAGGGCAAAAGGTAACCTCGTAGCCTCGGATTTTGTAGCCGCCCCAGCAGTCACGCTCACCGAGCCCGGCGCCTGGATCCGACCTCCAACGGGGCTGTGGACATGGCTCGTCGTAAGCTTTGCACCACTTTTTGCCTACGTCCCCATGTCTTGTGACTTCTTGAGCCGAAGGAAAACCGATGCAGTAGAGCAAGAGGTATCATGGCGGTTGGTACAAGAGTTGGGTCTTGGCAACTATTGTCTAAGTATACAGAGCTGAACTCCGATCTTGATTAGGGTACAGGTGCTAATCTGTTGGTGGTCAGCGCCTAAGTCATTCATTTGTCTCTGACACATTAGTCTTGCAGAGTCGAAAAATTGCCCCTTTCAACACACCCGAGTCATCCTCCCTGCTCTACTTCTTAGGTGTGACAGCACCTTCTCCAAAGATGTACCGCCCATCAACCGCCTGGGCTCTAGCTATACTCACTTTTGTGACTGGCACTTTGACCGAAGATGCTTCGGCCAACTACACAGAGCAGCTCCTGAGTTCTGGCACGGGTAAGTCTCTTGAATGTGCCCTCCTTACTTGATGATGAGCAAATGCTTACCAATATGTCAACAGTCAAGCTAGGAGCTTGGCAAGATGCCTATGACAAGGCATCGGCGCTTGTATCTACGCTCACAACCGAGGAGAAGATTTCAATTGTTGCAGGTGGTGATGGAGGCAACTGGACCGCGTTACACAATCTTGACTCCGCTACCAACCCTCTTACCTACTTCTACGTCACGACATGGCCCGCCGGTTTGGCGATGGCCATGACATGAGACACAGCAGCCGCAGAGGGCCAGGGACATGGCGTTGGCCAGGAATTCAAGGGAAAGGGTATCAACATGGCTTACGGACCTACACTGGAACCTCTCGGACGCTCAGCTTGGGGCGGTCGTTCCGGTGAGACGTACGGCGTGGACAGCTATCAGGCTGGAATTATGGCCGGCGCAGTCGTGAAGGGAATGTCATCTGCTGGTGTAACAGCTAGTGCCAAGCACTTCATCCTCAACGAGCAAGAGACAAATCGCATGAGTACAGGCTCTGGTGGAGGCGGCATGAGAGGAGGCGGATCTCCTCCAAGTGGATCAACCAACTCGACCCTGACAGCGCGCCAGGCATCATCGACGAACACCACAACGAATGGCACGACATCTGACGACGACTCTGGTTCTTACACTATTACCATCGGCGACAAGGCGTTTCACGAGACCTACCTGTGGCCCTTCTACGATACCGTCTACAATGGCATGGGTGGTGCCATGTGTGCCATGAACAAGGTTAACGGAACATGCTCATGCGAGAGCCAGGATCTCCTCGCCAAGTATCTCAAAGTCGAGCTCGGGTTCCCTGGCATTGTGTCTGCCGATGTCAGCGCGCAGAAGACGGGCATCAACGCCGCAAACGCTGGCATGGATCTCGCCTCGAGCAGTTACTGGTCCAATGAGACACTGGGCGTGGGCCTCACCAACGGCAGCTTTACCTCGGAGAGACTCGACGACATGGTGATTCGTAACATGATGGGCTACTTTCACTTGGGGCAGGATAACGGTTATCCCAGCCTGGCAGGCGTAACGGACCGCATCGACGACCGCGGCAACCACAGCGCCATGGCGAGACAATATGCTGCTGGGTCTATTGCCTTGCTCAAGAACACCAACGGCGCGCTCCCGCTGGTCAACAAGTCGAGTATCAGCATATTCGGCTTCCATGCTGGCCCCCGGTACGTGGGCGCAAATACCGCTCTTGGCGTCTACGACGGCGAGCCTTCGACAATGCAAGGCCACATGGCTGTAGTCGGAGGATCCGCCATGGGCTCGCTGGCATATTTGTCCACGCCGCTTCAGCTCTTCAACGAACGTGCCGCCAAGGATGGCTTCATGCTTCGTTGGTGGCTTAACGATACCTCCGAGACGTCCTTCAGCGGCATGCAGGGCTCCGGCACCGAACTCACCGAGTCCACCACTGGAGTGGCCGAGGACTCGGATGCGTGCACTGTCTTTCTCAATGCCTGGGGCGGCGAGGGTGCCGACCGCACGGAGTTGACCAATGCCGGCCAAGACACGCTCGTGACTACCGTCGCCGACGTCTGTAACAACACCATTGTGGTGATAAACACTGTTGGTCCTCGCTTGGTTGATGCCTGGGTTGAGCACGAGAACGTCACCGGTGTGTTGTATGCTGGAGCACTGGGCCAAGAATCCGGCAACGCAATTGATGACGTTCTCTTCGGCGCAGTCAACCCTTCTGGTAGACTCGTCCACACTATTGCTAAGAATGAGAGCGACTATAACCCGGATACGATGATTAGTGAGACGGAGTTGAACTTGGATTATTCGGATGGCAACTACATCGACTACAAGTACTTTGACCAGTACAACATCACGCCTCGGTACGACTACGGATACGGCTTGTCTTATACCACTTTCGAATACTCTTCTGATGTCATGACTGAAGCCTCCTCCAAGCTTACCAGCGGATTCGCGACTGGAGACAAGGCAGTGGGTGGCCGCGAGGATCTCTGGGATATTGTGGCAACTGTCTCGACCAGCATTACCAACACTGGTTCCTTGCAAGGCGCCGAAGTAGCCCAGATGTACATCTCCTTCCCCGAAGCAGCTGGGGAGCCAGTCAGACAGTTGCGTGGGTTTCAGAAGGCTGTGATCCGTCCTGGAGAGAAAGCTGACGTAGCTTTCCCTCTGAGACGGAGAGATCTGAGTGTTTGGGATGTCGTCGGACAAGAGTGGAAGGTTGAAAGCGGAGAGTACGCGATTTACGTTGGCTCTAGCAGTAGGAATCTCAAGTCTCAGGCTACCTTGAGAGTTGACTGAAAGGCTGGATGTAATTTTTTCATATAGTTGTTATACACATGTCTATATCTTGTATTCACAATGGCAGTGCCCAAAGCTCAATCTCAATAAGTACGTTTAGCTGGGCTCCCATCTCTTTGGTCTCTAGACACCAAGGATTATTCAATATTTTGATGAGAAATCTGTTCTTGAAATCTCTCAATAACCTACCTGCCCATTTTGATATGGTCTTGCGGTATGCTTGTCACCCGATGCTGATTGCTGATGCGGCCACTGACCTACCGACTGTCGCTATCGACCAAGCTCTGCTTGAAATACCATGGAACTCAACATGTGATGATTGGTAAAAAGCCTCATCCTCGGAGAACAGAGAGTCAGTCGAGTTGTCTAACATTAGTTTTCAGCTCGCAGGCTGCAGCAGTCTAGGAAGATGAATGGTTCTGATTTCACCTCAGGGGTACAGTTACAGCATTAAGTTGCATTGATGAAATATGCACTCCTATCCATGGTTGTATGACAGCTCCTATGCCATGGACCTATGACATTCTTTCTTAATGTCATGTCCACAAACTATAGAGATAAAGTCATATTCCAGCTTGAAATTATCTCTCAACTCAAGTGATAGACTGAATAAGGGATTCAAAGGCGCACGTTGTGAAGGGGTTTGCATTCCGTCTACAACTCGCCACTGCATGAGAGGAAAAGCTTCTGCTTACCACGCCTCAAATTCATCACCCGGAAATCCCGAGCTGGTCTTGCTACGGCTATTTCTCTCTCCATACGTGGCCAAGGCAACGTGATCACATCATCTACACATCTCACTTTAACGAAGCGCGCGGCTTCAAGAAGACTGATATCAGACTCCTGGAATAATGACCAAACAGAGATATCGATCGTTAGGCAAAGAACCGAGGTGTGACAAGTTGAACTTGATTGGATTGCGCTGTCATAACCCCAGCTTGACGCCTCATCACCATTGTGTCACGATCACATCAATTGAGCGAGTCCTGAGCTGTCACAAATAAGCTGTCAGCATCCATGATGCCTGTGCCTCTACAAAAAAGCCCACATACAGGTAGCTTGGGTCTTGTGATCGACATCCCGCAGAGCTAGATGCTTGCTCAAGTGCCTTGCGAGACTGGGCAAGTTTGTGGCTGACTGACAAGCCGGGCGATGGATAGAGTTCTCACGTAAGATATCCCCTCCATCGACTACGCAATCTTGGTTCTCCTCCTGTGAGGTACATGGTAGGCTATGCACCCCAAAAAGCGACACCATCGCCAGTGTTTCAAGCCCACTCACAAGCACTTCTATATATCATGCCGCGTAATGACTCCATTCTTATCATGAAACGGCCGAATTCTCATGTCAGCAGAGTCACGGCGAGGGAAAAGCCATCACGATCCCACTGCCGTCTTGGCTTGCAGAATAGGTGACGACAGATCGAAAGAAGGGGAAGTAGGTGTGCAAGCCTATGTCCTCTCCCAGACCCGGCGCCATCGTGCTGACAAGCTGACAAAATGTGGAATCTAGAATCAACGAAATCGCATCGTAACCCTGTCACCCGCCGTGGGAGCCCTAGCCTACACCAATGCCGGTTTCTGATCCCCGGTGTCAAACGCAACTTGAGCTTTTCCCTATGCCTACATGTAGTGTCGAGATTATCCTGGCTTGAATTGTGAGGTACTTGAATGGCTTCCGAGCGCCAAGTCCGAGGCGTCCAATGAGTCACAGTGACTCGTAAGCAGAGATGCTCGCTAAAGCGGGCGTCTGGATCCCAGCAGTTTCGAACGGCATCACACAGAAGTGGCGTAATTGTTTGAAAGCTCGCTACTCGAATAATGCGATATCAAGATAAACTATCGACATGTTTTGTGGTTTTCATGAAGAACCGCCACAGGGGCTGTTGTTCTCAAGTATACAAAAGTCAACCAAAATGTGAAGTCTATGGCGGTGAAGACCTCAACTAACCATCAGTCATGTGAGATTTAACGGAAGTGGAACGTCTGATGATCATGACCTGCTGACAATTCATCTTCCGCGGAGACTAAAAACCACAAAACCAACGATAACAACGAGCTCGATGAAGATATCACATCTCCCAGCCCACTGGCAAACGATATACAAACACTATGTACCTTCAGCAAAACCATTCAGCATCAAAGATCTGTCTCACAGCTAAAGATGGGTCAGCCTATAAATCCGAAATTCCGGCAGGCAAAATGATCAGCACACACTCCCGCATCATCAGAGTGACCGCTAGAGTGCACTCGTACCTCCTTTGCCTCTCGCCCCCTCGTTTCTCTTCCGTCCCCTGTATTCCTCACAATCCCCCATTATGACGCTGCATGGCACTTACACCCCTCCGAGCCATGCGCTATGCACTCTACCTCGACACCGAGGCGCGAGCTTCGCGACTGTAGACACGCCTGTGGCGTGAAGGATCGCGATTGGCTCACCCCCTCCCTCGTCCGGATGCAATCTTCGTCAATCCCATGTAAGAGCTATGATCTGTTGCGCAACTTCTATCTCAGCTGGGTACGGGAAGTGGACGGGATGGCATAGAGCTCAGAAAGGAAAGAGTGTGAGCCTCACACCAACTCTAGTTCACCCGCCCCCCCCCCCCCCTGCAACGGGCAAGACTCCTCCTCCTGTAGGTCTGCTGCATCGCCTAGGTGTGTTGTGAAGGTTTCGTATGTAAAGTTTGGCGTCACAGGAGAGCCCACCTCTATGCTGGAGAAGCCAACGGTGATCGACTTGCCAAAGTCTTGTAAAACTTGGCAGGCGTTGAGGGTGTTAGTTTGGCTCAGGAACTAGGATTGCTCGAGGCAGTATCCAAGCTCTTACCCAACCACGGTCTAGGATTTTTCGGTGACAGAGCTAAAAAGGCAACAAAAGCCACGCGAGGCTTCCAGCAAACCAAGACTCTATGTCCCCATGTCTAGACCACCACATAGCCGTAAGGCTGGCACTGTTCAAGGTGGTTGGCCTGACTAGTCCATAGATCAGCAACAAGTGCCGCTTGCAGGCCCGATGGTTGAGATAGGCTGATTGTACCCGACAGAGGCTCAGAGAGCCGGACTGACAAGTGCTCCCAAAGTCCCATCAAGCCTTTGCTGACCGCTCGACCAGGGCAGATTTTGGATCTTTGCCCAGTTGAGTGGCGGTTTCGAGTTATGAGGGACCGAAGGCTTAAGCTTCGTGCGAGGCGTACCGTAATTCTGACGATAGTGATTACGCCAGGGCCACTGGATATGCCTATCTGATTTGCCTCGAGTTAGGATCAATCAACAAAGTTCGGCACCGCGAGAGCGTCAAATAGAGACACAGCATCGGCACTGTCACTGTAGCTGTGCATCTCACGCAGCCTGGCATATTTGCTGCCCTGTAGCCAGGGCCTGAATCAGGGGGCTCAAACCAGAAGGCTTTCTGCAACCATGCAGTTAGCATACATGTACTTACGGTGCCTACATGCACCCTGGAGAGTCCCGCCTCTATCTTCGTCTGCAGCATTAATACCTTCGTATGAGCCTACGCCCGCTGCCCCTTGCCGATGTCAGCGTGCGTATGCATGTCTGTGGCGGCCGCCCGAGGCAGAAAGCACTAGTCGACAACTCGACGTTGGTTTGAGCGGGCTTTGGGCCCTCCCCGTTTCGTATTGCCCGAATAAGCAAATTGCCCTGATCCTGTACATGCTCATTCGCGGCACTTACCGTTGCCATGGCTTTGCAAATTGCAGGGATCCATTTCTCCATGCCCCGAGGATTTACGGAGAGATGACTGGAACCTCATAAGCAGGTTGTAGGCTGGGAAGTACCGGTAATATGGAGGGGCTGGAGTAGTGTAAGCCACGCCCAGCTTGAGAGGCAGAATTGGCCTTGTAGGAGCCTCATCACACCCTTCAATATTCATGAACTGTTAATTCGCCTGTTGGGTAGAAGCTAAGCTACGGCTTCTCGAATCATGAAGAAGTAAGTTGTAGGAGGGATTTAGCAGACGTATTAAGCGCTAGCTACGTTATGCACCAAACGCTCGGGAGAGACTTCTAAAACAGGAACTCTTCGCAGCAGTGCTCACCAAGGCGTGTCGATTGATCGCCATCCGATTGACATCGGGTAGCACGCGGATCCAGCAGTCCGTGTCAGCCCTAATCTTCTCTTGGACGGAGATGCATGCCGCCTACCGTCTACTGTAGGATGTTGGGGGTGTTTCTTTGGCCTTGTGGACCACGACGAACGTCTCGGCAGCATACATTCCCAGTCTCCCAGTAGTGTCTCGGGAACATACCACCATCAACACCATTTCCTGCAGGTTGGGGCGGCCTGTGCCATCCTCGCTTGCTGCTTCATGGAACTCCAGCTGTCTCCTTCACGCCACTCAAGTGCCTTGTCAGGCCTAGTGCTGACATGCGTCATGGCTTACGCTGCCGGGCAAACTTTGCGTGTGTCCCCCTCTCCTCGGGCCTCGAACGAATCAGGGCGTATAGAGATTCGCAGTATGCACTGCATTGAGATGGCCAAGAGGGAATCAGTGGAGGATATATGATCAAATTGTGCTGTTGGCAACATAGAGGGTTCCATCGCCGTGGGGCGGCATCTTCGGCCTTTAGTCGTCCGCGTGATCCTATCGCCGGCTTCCTTCGTCGACCCGACAGCAAGGGCCCAAACAACATAAATCTACCCAATTGACCCCAGTTGTGCATCCTTCGAGCATCGAGGTTAGCGGGGTAAACCGAATCATCATAGGTTTTCTCCCTCGGAAGTCCCTAGTCCTTCGGCAAACAGCCGCTATGATCCTCCGCGCCAGATCGAAGCTCTGGATCTCTGGAGTAATCATTGGCTTGGCCAGTGAGAAGTTGCCAGGTCTCATAGTCACACGCCCATGATCGCCGCCAAGGATACTGACGGAAGTGCCCTCCACGGCAGCTTGTGGTTCCCCAGCAACTCGCCGGCCCACCAAGGCCACTACAGTCGTCTTACCTGCATATAGGTAAACCAAGTCGCAACCAAAGAGACGTAAATGAACCAATGACGAGCTGTTCCTTGGACAATGATGTCTTTTCCCCTAGTGGAATGCAACCTCGAAGCGTTGTCCGCACGAGAAAAGATGACAGCCGGTGCCGACTCCAGATAGAGAGAGCTAATGCAGCAGGACTGATTAGGACAGAAATTGCTTTAGAATCCGTGTCCTAGTAATGGGTACCATCTTGACTTGGGGGTATATACAGACGAGTAGGTATATGAGGACAGGCTGGTCCGGGTGGTGGCATGGAGAATCATGTGCTCCGAGTGGGCTGACGGTCATGAAATGGCTGCGGAACCGGCGATTGTGCTTGTACTGCGGTCCCGTCTTTCGGGCTTCGGTGGTGAATATCTCAACTACCCGGCATGCCTTTCGGAACTGATGGAAATAGGTTTGGTTGCTGAAGACGTTCCCGGTTCCTCTTTGCGATCTCCATTTGTCGCTTCTTCTCAAGTCGGGCTCCGAAGAAGTTCCTAAGCCGTGTTAGCTGAAGCGAACTTTGTTCATATAGCACGCCAAAAGAGCTCATACTTTTGAAGTGCGAATACGCGTGGCTCCTCTTCCGCGGCCGGAGATGGCGTTTCGGTGCCGTTCTTGAAGTTTGTTAGCCGATATCCCAAGAAACCAGTCTTCCGATAGACTCAAGAAGCAACAAGCGGGATATCAAAGAGCTTGCCTTGACGCTGTCTTCCTTCTTCTCGTCCTCTGTCTTTTTGTCGTCCTTGTCTTTCTCTTTCTCCTTGTCTTTGTCTTTCTCTTTCTCCTTGTCCTTCTCTTCTTTTTCCTTCTTCTTCTTTTGTTTGTCTTCGTACTCCTTCTTCACACGCGCAACCTCGTCCTCGAGAGCCTTCTTCTTCTTCGCTTCAACGGCCTCTTTGTCGATGATAGGTGAGCAGAAGTTCTTGTCTTTCAGATGACTGGGGCAAACGTAGAAAAAGTCCTAAAGATCGAATTAGCTGCGCATTTCAGGGAAGAAACTATGGGCTTTACCTTATTTTCGGGAGCGACCAGGACGCTACTTGTGGCACGGTAGCAGACATCGCAGCCCTTGGCCGCCGTTTCCGCGACCTTGCGGTGAGTGTAGATATTGGAGAATGACATGGTATCGCTCAGCAGTGTATGATTATTTGGGAAGATTAGGGTGCCGTTGAAGGCTCGGTATTCAAAGCCTACTCCAAGGGCGGAACTAGCGTTAGCAAGACTCGAGGTTGGAGGTGCAAAGTCCGTGATGTTGCCTGACCTCCGAGGAAAGGAAGCTGTGGGGCACCCGGCAGTGACTTACCTAATGTGCTGTTCGGCTGGTGACAGCAGACGAGTGGAAACCGCGGGGTCAAGATGCGCGCCAAATCAGTGCCACTGCATTTGGGGCCTTGGGCGCATCCTCCACTGTGACGTCGCATCTTTCAGGGGCAGCCAGGGGAATGCAAGTCCCCCAAGGATGGTCCAAGCTCCCTTAGCTGGCGATAAGGAAAAAGATAAGACAAGGCTGACCTCGCACCTGTATTTTTTTCTCCCTTCACTGCGACTTAACTTCTGATGATCAAATACCTATGCTATTATGAACGAGCTCCTCTACGCAGTATTACCAACTTGCTTTGCTTTTTCCCTCGAGCTAATCTGGAATATGTCTCACACCTATATCCAGCTGGCGAAGTAAGGATACTGGAAATAACAACAATGATGTAAGGTTCTTGGGCGACTGCTGTTGTGGTGGTCGGAAGCATGGAATTGGCAATGAGAAACGACCACCATACATTGGAAATTGTAGATATTGGAGAAATATTGGGATGACCAAACATACCTATGCTGAACTATCAGAGTACCTTGGTCCACAGGGCTCGAGGTAATTGACAATTAGGGCCGTAAATGCCGAGTATTGTCATCGCTTTTGTCTCCTTGGAACCTTGAAGACTCGACTGAATCAGTGGCCCCTCGTAAGAAAAGGGGCTGCTGCCCGCCCCGAGTGTTCGCCGTACAAATTGCTATAGGCCTGTTACCGCCGCATTATGTAAGTCCGTGCCGCAGTGCACCAGGAACAGCCGCTTCAGCAAACAGCCGCCAGCTTCAACACGTCACATCACATAATTTTTTATCGACGTCGCGTCGAGACAGAGAAAACAATCCGGAAACTTCACTACATTCAAAGGGACGCTTTCCTCTACCCAGACGTTTCGAATCAGCCGCCATCTCGTTAATTTCATCGAACCCATCATCAAGAAGACACCGAATTTCTGGGACAGAAACAAATATTTCACCAAAAAATGGTTGCCGGCCTCGACAGCCAGCGGCTGGAAGCCGTCTTCCAGTCGCGACCCGACATCTTGCAGGGCATTCAAAAGGCAGCCAGTACTACCCTCCGTTCCAATTGCGCAGTTTTCTTTTCTTGAATTCTCAAATGTTGATTCTCGACTACTCAGACACACCCGATCGAGTCGCATTGTTCAACAATATCGCGAGTTTCGTTCACGAGCAGATCAACGGACCCGAACCGGCATCGAAACGCAGACGGATAGAAGAAGGCCCTACGAACGGTTTCAAGGCGTCTAACACAAACGGGGTGGCTGCAAAGCCTGTACCGAAAAGCATCGGAACCGGAAACGCTGCCGATGAAGAGGTTCTCCTTGTGACTAAGGAGATTTCCGTCTCCGTGCCCCAGCGCAAGAAGTACGAGCTCTGCTTCACAGCGAACTTCTTTTACGCGCGGTTGCCGAATACCACTGCACCCGTCGAGGGCATCATCTACGCTTGGGATGACATTGGTGCGTCTCCAACCGCACAGGAACTTAACATCCCAGCCAAGCTAACTTGCGCTTCAGAGTACCTCTTCTGCCTCCCCGTACCCGAGAAGACTCAGGTGCAGCACAACTACGTCCTGTTTCCCCGTGGAACATGCCTCCCGACGAAAACCTCACCCGAGAAGGAAGCTCTGGTATTCACAGTGCCTGCCACAGCCCCCAAGCCCGGCACCATCGAAGGCCCGAAAGCGAACGCTGCATCAGCAGTCTCCGACACCTACCGTGGCCTCTTTGATTGGGCGTTGACGACACACCTCAGCTCCGCTGGCAATCCTGCCGAAATCGTCGCAGCCGATCCCAACATCTTCCACAGCCTCGTCCGCCAGCCGCACAGACCGAATGAGAAGGCGGTACACGTCAAGGCCTTCCGCGGCTCCAAAGACGGATACCTCTTCTTCCTTCCCAATGGCATTCTCTACGGCTTCAAAAAGCCTCTAGTATTTCTGCCCGTCGACCGCATTGTGGCCATGAGCTACACAAGCGTTCTGCAGCGTACATTCAACATCGTGGTGGAGGTGTTCACCGAGGGTGACGCCACCGAGGAGATTGAGTTCGGCATGTTGGACCAGGAAGACTACGGCGGCATTGACGAGTCCTATGTCAAGCGCCACGGACTGCAGGACCGCAGTATGGCGGAGCAAAGGAAGGCGAAGATGGAGCTGACTGAGAACCTGAAGAAGAAGGGCGCAAACGCCGACGCTGATGCCAGTGGAGACGCGGATGCAAACGGCATGACGGAGCTCGAGAAGGCTCATCTTGAGGCTGAGCAGGCGCTCCAGGAGGATGAAGATGAAGACGAAGAAGACTATGACCCTGGCAGCGAGGGAGAAAGCGAGGGCTCTGGGTCGAGCGATGATGATGACGACGACGATGATGATGATGAAGATGACGATGCCGGGGAAGAAGGCGAAGATGGTGACGAGGAGATGGGTGAAGGTGAAGGTGAAGGTGAAGGCGAGGAAGAGAAGTGAGTTGCTAGGAGTCATGTGTGTTCAAGATGAGGCGGTTGTAGGATCTCGCTGTTACGGCTCGTGATCATGATAAAGGTGTACGATAGAGACGTCGGTCGTTAAATCGACTCCAGAGCATAGGCGTCCTCATACTGGATACCCGAGGGTTCAAGGTGAATCCACGTACAGCAATGCAACAACGGTGGAATCCACAGCCGTCTCTTAATCGCTGCACTTCCACTTGCTTGTAAATTACGGACACGAGGAAGAGAAGCCGTATTCTCCAGTTTCTTACAAAGACACAGAAGCTCTGCAGGTCCTGACTCAGCGAACACGGAACGCTGAAACATCCCATGTCAACTGAATTGACAGCCCTCCTAATAGACATCCAGAACGGTCGACTTGAGCCGAATACCTACTCCGTTACCTCTCACCCGATATTTCAAAGATGTGCATACGGCAGGATCCGATGAGTGTAGACACAGGCACTGGACCTTGCTTCACTTGTCTTACGAATGCGCATGGTTCAGGAAATTTTAATGAAGCTTACATTCAGGCACAAAATTCCTCTAATGAGAAGGTTCGGATCAAGGTAGCCTTTGTCTGGAGCATGTAAATAATAATATTGAGTCCAAAGAGATATAAGAGAAAGCACTCGGTGCCTAGCTGCTCGTTCATGTAAGCTCTGCCTACTCATTCTCTGTATATATTTATACTCCTTGATTGCTTACCATGATGAAGGCTACACTTCTTTGTCTAGCGTTCTTCCTGGCCTCATCAGCAGCCATCGCCATTCCCACCAAGACAGTCGTTGCCACAGCCTCCGTCCAGACGCCCACATCATTCAACGTCACCAATGTTCCGCCGCCTACAGGGGGCGATCGAGACCATGGCCAAGATGGCGAGAAAGGCAACCTCGCGCCCTGGGAACAATCGTTCTGTTCTATGAAACACCATCACGAAACAAAGTCATCACATCATAAGATGAAGCATCCCGCACATCTAGGGGGGAAAGACACCAAGGGCAATCAAGCGCCAAATTGGCAGCACTGCAAGAAACATCTCGGCAAGCATCTGCCTCCCAAAAAGTCGCCTAGAAGCTTAGCAGAGACAAACGGGACACGGGCATCCTCAGCGGAAGGTCATAGAGGTCAAAAGGAGCATGAGGGCCATAAGGGTCACAGGAGTCATGGGGAATGCTTCAAGAAGTGCGTTGGGTTCAAGATACCCTTCATCTCGAAGCTGATACCCGAGGGCATGATGGAGCCTGTCTGCGAGGGTATCTGTGGATGCAAGGGTTCTGAGCAATGTAAGGGTAAAGACTCGGGAGGCGAGAAGGAGCCGAAGGAAGAAAACCCTCCTATTCAGTATAAGGACATGAATGAGGTGCATAACTGGAAGGAATGGATTGCAAAAGAAAAGGAGATCAAGCCGGCCAAGGATAACGGAGATGCTCCGCCCACGACCAGAACGCTGAAAGATGTCTCTACGACACATGTATGAAGCCCAACAAGTACGCTACGGGCTTCTTGCTTAAGACTGCGCGGTTCGAAACTGTGTTCAGGAGCGAATAGTAAGGTTTGAGACAGGAAACTCAGCACCTCGCTCTCATGTGAATACACGACAATGTTACAGCTTACTTGTTGTTGTATACTACGAGCAAGACATCTAGAATGAAAGCTTTACATTCAGATAGCTTATACGGATTAGATATCCGGGGTCTACATCAGAATCCAGTGCGGCTGTTGAACCGCAAACATGCTAATTTGGGGCTCAGGAGCTTATATTTGTAGTGACGGAACAGACCTTTGGCTAGTTGGCCTTGCCCCAATCGTTACTCCTCGTCCACATTTGGAACTTCCTAGGGTCGTCGCCGCGATTCAATGGTACGCACTTTAGTGATCATAAGGCGCATCGATCATCGTGACAAACGATCGTTCCTCCCAGTGCAATTTAATATCGGTTACCTATCTGCCACGTGCGCAGCAAACCAAAACCCGTGGCTTATGCACATGAGGTCAAGCCAGACTCACAGACATGTGAGATTGAAGAGCCAAGCAAGCCAGGACGAAGGAAGACAAAGGAGCCCAAGGGAGATTACGAGGCGTTGTGATTGGTCCCCAATCCAGGCGTGGCTGACAATCCTCCCAATCTCCTGTAAGCGCTAGAGAGCTTCCCGCTGGCAGGTCCAAACAATCATCGGACGGGTACTTGAGTACAGACGAAGAACTGAGAAGGTCAAGAATTACGCATTCCGTGGACGAAAGCTCCAAACTTTCTTGCCATCTGGCACAAATCGAGAAATTTGGGTTCTTCTCAAACACTGTTTTGCCCAGCTCAACGCAACAACTCGCAATGATGGGTGAATCTACGACGGAATATACACCAGACACCACGCCTATATATGATTGCGTGGTCATCGGTGCCGGATACTCCGGTCTCGCGGCTGCACGACTCCTGAAGGATGCTGGAAAGAAGGTCCTTTTACTCGAGGCGCGCGATCGCGTTGGTGGACGCGCAAAGACAATACCGCTCGACAATGGCGACTACTGGGATGTCGGGGCCTCTTTCGTCGGTCACAAGCAAGATCTCATGCACGCTCTGGCAAAGGAGTTCGATGTGCCATTATTCAAGCCACCCAGCCAGGGAAAAATTGTCCTGGCTTATCGGGGCAAGGCGCGAAGCTATGCGGGCCTGATCCCGCCGGTGAGGCCGTGGGAGGCTCTGGACACGGGTCTGTTCGTCCGCCGATTCGAAAAACTGTGTGAGACGGTCAACATGGAAGAGCCGTGGCAGACACCAAACGCGGAGGAGCTTGACCGCATGACGGTGCATGAATGGTTGAAGAAGCAGGCTTGGACACAAGCTACCATTGATTTGGGCAACTTGGCGTTCGAAGGAACGATCGGGCAGAATACGTCTTGCATCTCGATGCTTCATGCCATGTTCTTTTTCAAGGGCGTGGTCAGTCTCACGTCAGGCTTGAGCTGCGAAAATGGAGCGCAGCAACATTTCATACAAGGGGGAGGCCAAGCCATTGCCGAGAAGCTGAGAGAGCACCTGGGAGACGGAGGCATTCGCTTTGAGGAACCAGTTTGCGGCATCACATACACCGAGAGTCTTGCGACCATCCGGACGTCTAGAGGAACATACCGCTCACGACGAATCATCTCCGCCATCCCGCCACCGCATATTCTCAAGATCGATTTCGAGCCAAGGTTACCGGTAGAAAAGACCACACTGCTCCAGCACATGCCGATGGGAGCCTACATGAAAGTCTACGCAACCTACAAAACCCCCTTTTGGAGGGAACGAGGCCTGACGGGAGAGAGCACGAACCCGACCGGCTTCCTCAGCGTGACCTACGACGCGACGTCGCAGTCCGGGGGCCCGGCCAAGCTCACAGGCTTCATCGTCGGCACCAAGGCGCGAGAGTTCATCAGCTTCAGCAAGGACCAGAAACGGGCCGTCGCCCTCGCTGGTTTTGCATCCGCGTTCGGTCCGGAGGCGCTCGACCCGGAAGAGTTCTTCTTCCACACCATGATGGAGGAGGAGTGGGCTCTCGGGTGCCCGATGGCGACGCCGGCGCCGGGGATGTGGACGCTGCTGGGGGAGTGGGTTCGGAAGCCGGTTGGGGCTATTCATTGGGCTGGCACGGAGACCTCGACGAAGCATTATGGGTACATGGAGGGCGCGGTATTTGCGGGTCAGAGGGCTGCAAGAGAGGTTTTGGAGGAGCTCAAGTGGAAGATCTGAGGTTGACGGTTCGAAAATGGGACGTTGTTTTTGGCAGATGGCCTGATGCAATTGAACATGTGTCTACAGGGGCAGTATCGGAATCACTGGCTTTTGGACTTGACAAATGACTTCGAGTGCATCACTACGCTGAATTAGTCTAGCATACCCCTAATTGAAACCAATGTGAATTGGAAGCCATATTCTATCAAAACCCAAGGCCGGAGATCTGTGTAAAGGCAGGGACTCAAAGAAGACCCTGGGGTAATCAAAGAGACAAGGTCACACAGCCATCGATGCTGTCCTCCTCAAAGATGGAACCGAAAATGATGCCCTCGTTGATTCCAGACTCGTGGAAACCGGACTTGGTGAGGTCACCGGTGCCGTTGATCGACTTCTTCAAAACGCCAAAGTGAAACTGTCCCTGTCCCGAGATGTCGTTCTCGATGGGCTGGCCCTGAGCGACAAGAGGGGCATTCCCTTGAGAGTAGTACACCTGTGTCAAGCTACGATATCAATGTCAGTAAAGCCGGCTACAGTCACAGAAGCAAAATCATGCACTCACTTCTTGCCAAAGTCCAAAGTCAGGGCAAAGTTGTGGAACACGCCCTCAGTGAACTTGGTCTTGAAGAGCTCCGGCGACGGGTTGGTGTTGGAGTTGCCAAACAGGTGGAGAACATCCGGGTCCGCCGGGTGAATGCCGATGAGATCGCCGTACTTGAGTGCGAATTGGTTCGAGCTGAAGATGGAGCTCTCCAAAAAGACCATTTGGTATTCGTGGGTTAAGTTAAGCGGCTTCTTAGGGTCCTTCATCATGCTCCAGTGGACCGTCTTGATGCCGGAGGTGGATGGGTCGGTGCCGTTATTGCTCATGGGCAGCATCTCTGCGCGGCGGAAGCCCGTTTGCACATTGGTCTCGGTGGGCGCGAAGATGGATCTGTCGTCAATGTTGACTTGGAAAGGCTTGTTTGCCGGGCCGTCGAGCTAAGGAAGATCGGTCAACTGCTGCCAGAAAGATTCATGTTGACGTGTGGCTTACCAGAGACGACAAGCCTGTCGGAATAGTGACAACGTCACTGGCCTTCAGACCCTTGCCGAAAACAAAGCCATTGTTGAAGGGACTCGCAGAGGTGTCGAAAGAGGCGGGTGTGAAGTTTGTTGGGATTCTGCCATCGAACTGGATAGGGCACTTTGCGGCATCGGCGGCACCAGCCGCGACCACAACAAGGGCGCCAAGAGAAGAGGAAGAGAAGTGCATGGTGAGTGGAGCGAGTGTCGTAAAATAACTTGTTAAAGAATGAGTGTAACTGACTAAAAGTCTTGAGCGAATGGAATAGAACTTCGCGACAGACGATTTGCACAGGGCCAAGCAGACTACAGTTCAGATGACAGATGCGACACTTGTAGCCGCATGCGAATCTATAAGTACTTGGGTGTTTAGTATCCCACCGGCCTACGATATTGGATAGAGACCTCCTCTCTTCGTCAATTGGTCAGTACAACAAGGCCATGGCCATGCTGGTATGGGTTAAAGAGAGTTGTTGACGGGGGTCGTGGAGTGGTTAGGGGAAGGATGCTTTATCTGGCTCGGTTTCGCTGTTGTACGAAGTTTCCGCCATTAGTCGTTACGGAACTGGCGGAGAATAAGGTGGAAGAAGAGCCTCAGCATGCTAAGTTGCGACTCGGTGGTTGCCGGTGGGATGAGTTTCCAATTTGTCTGAGACGCAATTAGAGTTTGCTTCATTCCCGAAGCTTTGGAAACTCCGCCGATCTTGAATCGTGTAAGGGGCAGAATGGAGACGGTTCATCCGTTGTCGGGCAGCCAATTTGTCGGATGGTCTGACATTGAAGTTGATGCCCGGAATCATTCGCGCCCTTCTTCACTCAAAAAGCTGCATCGCGTCGAGCTGGGGTGTATGGTTTTGTGTGCGTAACTTCATTTCGCTGCATTTCAAAGGGATCCAGGCTCAGTCTCCATGATGGAGCATCTGACTGCATACCTTACACGAAGGCACCCTCACTGTTCGAACATTGTCGAGTGCCAATGACAGTGAATAGCGATAAGCTTGTTAGGTTGACACCTAATTGACGCTATGTGTGATGACGTAGCAATTTGGAATATGTACAGTGAACGCATCATGGCCTGCGCATCATTCGCACTACAAAAAGCTCCATTATCTCATGGTAGCCAGAGTATCTGAGCTGACCTCGAGCACACATACCTTCTCCGCCGCGTTGCTATCCCCTAGGCGAATTGGCAACCCAACTGCTGCGGTGTTGCTGTGACGCCAAGCGTAGCCAGAGTGTTGATGGCGTACTCGCAATGAGCCGGCGAGGTAATGTGAATCGTGTCGTGGAAAAGGTACTTGCGAGCAGTGTAGGCACAGTTAGTCGACTTGTAGTCAGGATTCGGAGGCCTGCAAGGTTATAAGGCAGTCAGCGTCTTTGTTCGGAAAACAACGATGTTGAACAATATTTCGGGCCTGGTGTTGGAGTGCTTCACTACTTACACGACAATGCCAATGGGCAGAGCGTCTGCGCAGTAGCCGTTTCGATCAAGGTAGCCCGCGGTGGGACCGGTTGTCAGCGTGCCAGCCTTAATGGACCTCAAGCTCTGGGTGAAATCCGGTGCAAAGATGGTGATCTGCCCGCGATACGTGTTGTTGTTTCTAAGTTCTGTGATGAGATTGTTCACTGCTACACGGTAGTTGTTTGCGAAGTCGGCGACCTTGTCTCTGTCTGCCTGGGACAATATCTGAATTCTGGGAATGAGCTCCGCCGGCAGGACAGAGAGGAAGACAAAGTTACGAGCTCCGGCGCCATAGATCTAGGGCGAGGGGCCAAAGTCAGTCTCTAGCTCAATTGTTTTCGCGCTCTCAAGTCATGACGAAAAGTGGGTGCGTCGAAGGGGCGGACAAATGTAGCTCTTTACCTGGGCAAACTTGGTGCGGATGACTCCGATCAAATTGTTGATAGTTTGGGCTTGATTAGTGGTGGTGTTGTAGGTACCAAGAATATCATTGCCGGTGTTCGACGCCAGGAAGATAAAGAGAGAATCCCTAGCCGAAGCAGTACCTGCCGTACGAGCCGCTGTGAAAGCGGTAACGATCTCATTGATTTGATCATTCCAGTTGATGATAGGACTGAAACCGGGAAGAACTTGCGTGGGCACCGCATAGCGAGAGTCCGTTACCGCCCCGGGGTATGCAAACTTGTTGAGGACAACATTGTTTGCACCGCGTGCATTGGCGATGTAGTTTATATGGTTCGGCCCGTTTGAAGTCGTGCTGTAGCTCCTACCATCACCCTCAGTCAGCTTATTCGAGAAAATCCCAAAAGGATAACTGAGACACATACAAAGGACCACTTCCGATGTAGTCGTAAGATGCACCAGCTGTCCAGATGTTGCGGATTGTGTTGAAACCTCCCCAGTTAGCCCCTTGGGCATCGACTGCACCAGCGAGCAACGCGGCACACAAGGCGAGGGACGAGTTCCACTTGAGAATCATGACTGTCCCTGAATCAATTGGCGTCCGAGATCTTTATGTGAGCAGCTGAAGAGAAAAACGAATGGTGGTGACAGCTGAGCGAGTGATTGCCTGAGATGAGGCTGGTTGCGAATTGTGTAAGTGTAGATGCAGATGACATTGCTCAGAATGGGATCGCCGCCGTCCTATATATGATAATTGACCTCAAAGGCACTCCGGCATATTATCCTTGAGTAAGACGGTCTAGACCGCGATCACCGTTAATCAGGATCGCATTTATCTGAGCCTCAAACCTCGTCCTCGGATACGGATAGGCACACAAGCCATCCATTGTGGGCTGCATGACGTGTGGGATCGCTGAATTGCCTGGGTAACAAACCTTGCCGTACTTAATGAGTTGCTGTTCGGCTTGCACAAGTGTTCCTGGCTTTTAAAGCCTGTTCGCGCAATACCGTCCGAGGTTTTTAGCCTCCCCCGCGATCCGATGATCGGATGTTGGGAGGAAGACCCTCCTCAAGGGGCAGCAAGACGCATTGACTACGAAATTAGACAAACTTCGTCTGCCATCCGAAAACCCTAATCAGCATTATATTTTGGGAGTTGGTGTGATCCAATGTGAGCTCTGATTCGGCTTTGAGAGCATGGACGTGTTCATGTACGATACCGAGCGAAGGAATGAGGCAGGATTTGTGTTCCTATGTGTTCACTGACTCCCCTTCTCAGACCTGAGCCGTCGCCTACGCAACCACGGGCGTGCACAGGGGCCAGTGCACCGGGCAGTTTCCAACTTGAAGAAGAGCCAACTGGCCACTTACGAGTAGCCGACTGCGCGATTTTGAAGATCTTTCCAATGGTGATAAAGAACTTGTGGCTTTCTCAGACTGACCTTCCTGGGCTGCCCGACCAAAGTCGAGATGGGTGCCGTAGGAAGTTAAGGTCAATTCAACCGAGTCTTCCATCCGTGGTTGAGTTGTGACACTGGCTTTAATCAAGTCGTTATGATCATAGACCTTAGAAACCCCCTCTTTGTGCATTCTTTATTCTGACTAAAGTTCATCCTGTTTTCTTTGTGCAAATGTGTCTTTCAGTCTGATAGTGAATACAGAGGAGTAGGTTCGAAACAGGCGTTGAGTCGTGAATAGAACCCTCCCCCCATAACCAAGTGGTATAATACATAAATTCGCCTGCATCATCCGTCAAGTAAACGAGACATAGTCCTCCAATCTCTTCGCAACCGAAACAACAACCAAACACAAGAGTCACCATTGTTAAAGATCCATCCACCGAGCAATCTCAACAATCGCGTAGGTCAGTCCGTCTGTCATACCCAAACACAACACAACACCGAGCATACAATGTGTGAGGTCAAGCAAATCCGCGAGAGCTGTATCCGCTGCAGTGAAGTAGTTCGCCATGTCACGGATATGAAGCCTTGTGAGAACCACCTCCAAGTCAGATCTAAGAATGGAACTCTGGCTCACTGGTGCAAAGGCAAAATCACAAGAAGTATCCACGAGACATACTTTCCAACTCGCCATCCATGTAACGACGCTTCACATACCGCTGCCTTGTCGCGTTGGACTTCTCAACCAGCCAGACAACCACCGCCCGCTGGCCCCCAGCGCGTAGAGCGCCTCAGCGACCTAGGCATCCGACGTGGGAAGGTAGTAACCCAAGAGCCCCAGTGTCAGAATGAGACATGTGATAGTCTTTGTTGTTTGGAGCATTTCGAAGCTTGGCCCGAGGCGGTGCCAGAAGCTGTCAAGCAGCCCCAGACAAAGTACATTGGCCATCAACTCGATCCCGCCAAGCCCTCTCATGATTTTGACATAGTATTGGGCGTCTCGGTGGCTCGATTGGAGACACATCGAGTTTTTCGGCAGTTTAACCAGTGGCTTGATGTCCCTTCATTTCGTGTTAGACGCCTTGACGACACTGACTCTTTCTTTGATGACGATATTACTCTATAAGTAGGTGATGAGATCCAAGGGTATTGGGAGGAATTTTGTTGGTTCCAATTTGCAATCATGAGTGCGTGCTTGGATCTCGATATTGCACAGTTATGATATTGCACAGTTATGATATTGCACAGTCATGGATTGGCTCATCAAGACGATAGATTGAGGCAGACTAGGTAGGTAATAGAAGTCCTGGAAGTTGGCTTGAGGGTGCTTTAAAGTTCCAGCAGTGCGTGGCGAAGGAAGATGAAGTGACCAGGGGCTCTTCTCTGAACAACCTTTGTGGTATCTCTCAGACAGAAAGTCGAATACGTAAAATTATGACCATAATCCACCTCTCAAAGTATGCAGAGGTAAGTATGATTCAAAAAAGAAATGTCGACTCATCGGATCGTTAAGAGAGCAATTGAAGACGCCGGCAAGCTGAAACTGTCGTTCAGGACTTCGTCTTCCCTTACATCGCCCTCGGGCTCCCCAGACACAGTCTCGAAACTCTGTCCCGCCCACGTCCTGCTCACGACGTTCAGTAAGCTTGCAAAACAATTACAAGATGAGAAGTCCACTTACAATCCAGCATTAGCAGTCGTATTTTCCGAGAGCAGCATCTTCACCGTAGTTGATAGACCTGATCCAAGGCCCTTCAGATTAACGCTGATGCTCGGCTTCTCTTGTCCCCCGAGATGGACTTGCGTGTTCAAGACAACAATTCTGGCAAGTCGCTCTTGCTCCCATATGCCATACGCGGTAATAGTAATATTACTGGTCGGTATTTCGGCAACATACGCTTCGCTAGACTTCCCGATGGCTTCGTTGACAATCAGAAAGGCGTGATAGGATGGAAGAATGTGGGGACGAGTAATGTTTAGACCGTCATCGGAGTCGCTTGTTGGCTGTATCAGGTTGTATCTGAAACCTACCCCGTGGTGGAAATGAAGCCTTTGTATCCCAAAAGAGGCGCCAAGTAAGAGCCAATCGGTTGCCCAGAGTGCACTCTCAACAGTATTACTCAGCCCAGGTTGGCCATGGCTATAAATAAGTCACAAAGTTAGGACATCGTCTAATTAAGACGAGCGAGACTCACTTTGCATAAGAGTTTGTCTCGCCCTATTCAGATGTCAGTAGGTAAAATGAGATGGTGTGTAAAAGACACTCATACCAATAAATAGTCTAAACCCACGGATCTCACTGCTTGTATACCGGCCATCTTAGTAGTCAAGTTGCCGCGCACGTATATCTTGTTCATCAGATCTCCGGGGTTGACGACACGGCGTGGATCGAAGCCGCCAGAGTAGGCATGCTCCGTGAACTGAGTCGTCGCATTTCGAATGGTCGGGTCGTTCAGTATACCCAGCTGTAAGGGTCCTGCTGGCGTCCATTCTGGGGCGTTAGCTCCAGTAAAGGCCCCAGGCGACAGTGTGGGCCGATCTGAACCGGTGTGATTGAACTCGATCTCTCTGCTCACTGCCTCGGCATACTGTGCCCAGGTATCTGTATAGTTGGCAGTATCCCACTCAACGCCGTAGGGACCATTGTACACCGTCCGCGTCAAGCCATAAAAGTCAGGCTCATTTCCCAACTCGACGTTGACAAGTCGCACATTCTTGGTTAAGTTTGCCCGGTCCCCTTGAAAGGTCTGCGCAAGCAACCGGGCCTGAGCAACGGTCTCAGTCTGGTTCAAGGACTTGAGGTTGAGACCCCACATGAAGGGCGTTCCAGCCGGTAGATTCCCCGATAAGGCATAAAAGTCTCGGCCGATGTAGATGTGATCTGCCTCTGGGTTGGGGACAGTCTCAGTCGGTTCCGGAAAGGTTTTGTTCATGACCTCGAGGCTTAGGTCTAGAGTGGCTCTGTCTTGCGAGTTGGCTCCTACACGAAGGAATGGCATATGCCCGGTCCTCTCGCCTAGGTTTGAGAGAAGCCGGTTGAAGTATTCGTTTGGTTTGCCGACTTCTTGCCCGGCCCAGTCTGGCCAGCGGTCCATCTCTATGCTGAAAGCTGCGAGGTGAGGAGAGAGCTTTTCGGCCCATTCTGGTCGGTGACTTGGCAAATGCAGATTGAGATTATACCCAAGACCGTCGCCGAATGCTTTGCCCAAAAGGACGAGGAGAACTAATGGTATAGACATTTTGCACGATGCAGCGACTGCGCTTGGAGGAAAAGATGAAAAATAGAGCAACAAACTGCCGGTCTATGTAAACAACCTAGAAATCAGAACTTTGAGAGAACATCGTCAGTGACTTAAATACACTTCGGTGAAGGTGTTTGCCGAAACACCCAGCCGAACGATGATACGTCATGTCAAGATTCTGCCAACTTCGAACGGGGACCTAGCTCATCTTGGAGACAATGGGCAGTATCAATGGCAGGCTCACGGGTGAACATATCCTCCAGACAGTCACTTTCAGCTGTATTCCCACAAATCGCTGTATTTTCGTAATTGTCTCTGCTCCCGCTGTAGGTAGACGGGCAGAGCAGGGTGACATGGTTCCCCGCAAGAAGTCAAGTGTCACTGCAACACTACTGCACGGAATTGAGCTTGAGCAGCTACAGAAAAGCGCGATTGGCCATGCACTAGCCGATCTCCTTTGCCGTTGTTCCTGTGTATACGCGTATTTTGACGACGTAAACGGTAAAATTGATCAAGTGATCGCGAATGGGACGCCGAACCGGCAAAGGGCTACGTGGTGAGAAGCTGCACATGTAGCTGAAATTGCCGAATCTGTCGCACTGCGACTTCGTAACTTCGAGTACAGCCCAATCACGTAGCAGCAATCACTTTGAAGGCAGCCTTATGCTTGAGAAATGAGCTGCGGACGAGGTCCCACTCAAGTTGTCTTCAGCCAAATTGTGGTTTAGACTTAGCAAGTCTTGGAGATTGGTCCAGTGTCCATGAATCAAGATTAGATATGGGGATGCATTTGAATAACATAGTTGAACAAATTTGATGGTAAGCATAGATCATAACATCGCTCAAAATGCGTAGCTTTGTGTTAATTTAGTTTGTTCTGCCTTCTCTTTGTGGCGATCCACTTGTTAAGAGAGATCGAAGATACGTGAATCACGGGTACAACGGGCTGGAGTGAGTTTGTGTGAACGTAGCCGATCCTGCCCAAATAAATCGTGGCCCATAGACTTGTTCTGGAAAACAATTTTCTTTGACTCCATTGTGACTCTTTGTACCAGGACACTCGAGACTCAACCACAGGTCTAGTATTCACGAATATTACACCCATATAATACAACGGCCTCAAGTCAGTCTACGTATATCTGAAGGCTCTCTTACTATCGTCTTCCAGCTCACTTTAGAAATCACCAAACGCAAGCAACTTCAACACAACATTTCAAACAAGAACAAGAGTGTATAACCGCTTCTTTAGAGAGATACTTTTTCAAGGTAGCAAAGATGTGCATTATTTACTCCTGCACAGAAAGATGCATCCGGTGCAGACGCCCAATAAACTACTATGAGCGACGATTCCCCTGCGCAGAGCGATATTGGTACATTGATGAGATCTCTGGTGCCGAGATTCCCACGTGTCCCAATGATCTTAGATGGATTACAGGTATGGAAGGATGGCGGCCTCATTGTGGTTGGTGCCCGCTCACGAATTTAGCATTTGACAATCCCCCAGCACGGCGATAGTTGACGAGGACCGGCAGATCAAAGAATTGGGGCAAAAGTAGGCATGCATTACATGATTTATCTATAGAAATTCCTCCAAAGTAATTAACTTTGTGATGTCCAAGGCTCACGTGTGGCTCTTGTGGGTTTGAAACTCGGAAAGACTTCATCAGATCCTCACTTGATCTTCTTGAGTGACTGCAGCAGCCAATTATGCACTAGGTTCAGTCTTCGTGTATCATCATCTTCCGCTGTTTAACTAAGTAATCCTAGAAGGCATTCCAAAGTTTCATATATCCCGAATATCAAAACCCCGGTGCTTGTTCTTCAAATACTTTCTCTGCTAGAGAGCTGTCTTTTCTGTCTATTTTTGGACTTCAATTCTCTGTCTAGAAACTTGAATCTTCGACCTTGGACAAGACAAAGAAAAAGAACTCTGAACCCTCGATATTTTGGCTCTCTACTTTGGCTGACCTCGAACGTACCAATGGTTAAGCCTCTTTATCGGGATGGGCTGCTGACATCAGCGCTGTGCCTTGCATCTTACATGCATGGCTTGCCCAGTTGTCCCCCAACCTCACCCATATCATAGGAATCCTTTTCCATCTCCAAAGCGCAGCGATTGGCCATATCGGAAATCCCACTCGAGACCCCTCAAGGCGGTTGCCAAGCCTGCGAAACCTAACGACTTCTCATCTTCTCTCTGGCGGGGAGCAACGTATGACACTCGTCTCAACTTGATTGGAGATGGGACCTGGCCCAAGTTAATCTGACCGTCGCAGCGGGATGTGGGAAATGGAATCAAGTCTATTAGTGTCCTGTTAACCGTCTTGACGTGTTTTTACTTGTAGAAAAGAAAATTGCTGAAGTATTTCCATGCGAAACAGCGCCAGAGCGCATTTGATTGCCAATGAGCATCATCAATTTGATGAAATCTCGCGCAACAACCAGAAGAGACAAGTAGAGCACATTCAATCAAGCTACGGACCCTGAAGGTAGTAGTCCTGGAGGGTGCATCGGCAAGTATCCACCCGAAGAGCCGGCGCCCCGTTGCGGCATTCCAGATATCAGACCCTAGCGGCATATCAGGCAACAGTTGGAAAAAGCCCCCCTTACGGTCAAACGTATCATCAACGACCTGATTGGAGAGCGAATGATACAAGCCCATAAGGAACATCAGTTGGCCAAGATGAACCGGTCTCCAAACGAAGCCCCTCGTCCACATCTTTTTGGGCGAAAAAAGATAGCCCTAGAGGAGGATTCACGCTAAATTCTGACAGGCGCGCCCGCAGAGGATGGTGGATCAACTTGTCGTTCCTTGGATCCAAATTGGTATTAGTTTCTGGATCTTTTCCCAGGTCTGCGTAGTGCGCCACGTTGAGGACGGGCTTGTCTGGGATGATATGTAAAGACGATATCCCTCTAGTAGATGACCGTTGAGACTTTTCTCCTCCTAGTCACCCTGGCTGGTCTGCAGTTCTGGTAGACGACCAAATCACAATCAAGCTGGTGTTCGTCAAGTTACATCACTCAACAACCACGGCCAAGAAAGATGGCAAGTCAAGTCGGCCAAGGGCTCGGGAACATGGCGGGCAACGGTACAGCCACAGCAGGAAGCTTCCTCGCCTTCTTAGTCGAAGACGTGCAAAAGTCGACTTCCTCGTACGCTACGGTAGTGATTCTCCTCGTCTTTGCGATCTTTGTCCACAAGTTCTCGTCGCCCGAGCTGGACAGTCGCGAGCCGCCAGCGATGAAGTCTCGGGTCCCAGTCATTGGGCACTTGATTGGCATGATCCAGCACCAGAGCCGGTACTTCAAGGTCTTGGAGTAGGTCCAACTACACCCGGAATAAGACGTAGACAGGCGATGTATGCTGACACTGACACAGACGCCGGAACATGGGCATCGCGACGCTACCTATCCTAAATGGCAAGATGTACGGCATTTGGGACCCGATTCTAATCCAGGCCGTGTACCGAAACCGTAATCTTTCATTCGAGCCATTCGCAGTTGAGTTCGCGCAGAGGGAATTGGGCTTCAACAACGAGACGCTCAAGATAATTGAAAACGGTACCTTGTTGCCTGAGTTCTTTGAGGGTATCCACGTTGGCATGGCGGCAGATAACCTGCATCGCATGAATGCCTCCGCTCTCGCATACGTATCTGATGCGTTGGACGATCTCTGCAGAGGGAACGAAGCTTATGAAGCGACTAATTTCTGGATATGGGTGCGGGACTTGATGACTATGGCGACTACCGAGGCCCTGTACGGGCCCGGAAATCCGCTAAAAAAGGATGCAAGCCTGATGAAGGATACCTGGTGAGTTGTATCTCGTACACTTTGTGCAACGATCAAGAGGTCTCATACAAGTACAGGATCTTCGAATCGGACCTACCGGTGCTGATGCTGGGCATCGCGCCGTCCATCACGGCACCCAGATGCTTCAAGGCGAGAGCACGGCTTCAAGCGGCGTTGGGTGAGTACTACGGAAGCGATGGGGATTCGCACAAGGATGCATCGCAGATCGTCAGGAACCGCGCCAATGTTTTGCGAAAACACGGCATCCCGGGCAGGGAGGTGGGAATATTCGAGGTTGCGCTGCTGCACGTAGCCACCTCCAACACCATTCCGACGTTGTTCTGGTTCATGGTACACGTCTTTAGCCGTCCCGAGCTGGTGGCACGTCTGAGAGACGAACTCTTGCCGGTGGCGCAACATGGTGGTAACGGAGAGGTCACGCTTGACATTGGCACCCTTGACGACCGTTGTCCCTTGCTTGTGCGCTGCTATCGCGAGGCGATTCGCGTATCAAGTAAGGGAATGGGCAACCGACGCGTGCTGGAGGATACGACGATATCGGATGGTAGTGGGAAATCATATCTCCTCAAGAAGGGGTGCAACGTGCAGATGTCATCTCAAGTCAGCCACAGCTTAGAGAAAGCTTGGGGAAAGGATCAGGAGTCGTTTGATCCAGATAGATTCATCGTCAAGACTGGGAAGGAACATGCCGAGACGGAGAAGCTGAAGCGAGCGGCGTTTATACCCTTTGGCGGTGGGAGACACCTGTGCCCTGGACGCAACTTTGCGTTTGCAGAGAATCTCGGCTTCGTGGCGTCTCTGTTGCTTGGATTCGATGTTGTGCCTCTGGACGGGAACATGGAATCGACGGCCAAGGTTCCCAAAGCAGCGGGATGTTCGATGACTGGAGCCGCCGTTAAACCCGTCGATGATGGCGAGGGTTATGGAGTCCGAGTTCGGAGGAGAGAGGGATGGGAGGGCGTGAAATGGCGGTACATTAGCTGAAACGGTTTGAGTAGATGTCTGGATATAGTCAACGAAAATGGATTGAAATCTCCCCCAAGCCGTTAAGCGCATGATCCCGTGAAGTGCCATTCCTTGATGATGTAAGGCCTGTAGGACCTTCAGTTGATCGCCAAGACCTCATGTCCGGAAACCAGGTTTAGGTATTGTCGGCGTGGCACAAGATCGTAGTGATTGGAGTGAATAAGCTAGTTCCCACGGAAATTGGGGTACGATGATGATGCTACTGCGAGATTCGAGGGCCAGACCAGGGTGGAGCTGTCATGGAGCTTAGCTGGAGCAATCTGCCAAGAAATTTGGAGCTGGAGAGCTGGAGCTGTAGCTCCGGAAGCTCAGCCACACGCTACACGTGACTGTCATCACCCATTGACGTCATGGCAGCATTGTCGGGTTGCAGCTAAGAACTGGCGGAAGGTGCGATACTTGGCCCGGCAGAGAGCTCTTTCTTCTGTTGTCAGTGCTGTTTATTGTTCTTATTCCCTAGATTCCTTAATAGAAATGCTTCCTTGCCCATAGTTGAGCGCACATTAAACACCACAAACCAGAAACAGACGTCGAAAATGAGCTACGCGTTCCGTCGCGTATGCCTGCAACTCCCTACCAGCTTCGGACCTAAGCATGGTCCGTTGCGTCAAGCTTTCCGCCCAGCCGGGCCCGGCATTGTCACAAGACAGATCCCGGTGAACAGACGCGCGTTTGGGCTCTCCACGAGACGGCAAAGTGACCTCGACGACGCCAAGACCAAGAAGATCAGCCAAGATGACATGAGCAAGGAGGAAGAAAGGGAGAAGCTGGAGCGTGACGAGCAGATTGCGTTGAGAAAGCAAGAGGAAAGGCCATGGCACCGCGCCGGGGATGAGACTGAGCAGCGAGAGTTGTGCAAAGATCCCACAAACGGCGATAAGACTCGAGGTATGCCAGCTCTAATGTCACCTGCGCCCGGGCACACGTGCAGTGCATGATTACTTACTGTGAGCCAGGACGACTACTCACGACACCAACGAGGCTCTTGAAGCTCATCCTACCGCTGCCCTTCCACGCCGAACAAGCGCGGAACATACAGTCTTCCAAAGATAACAAGGACGATGACAGGGATTCAATCGCCCCGCTTGCCCTGCTTGTCCACCCTCAGCAGCCGTTGTCCTACCTCGAAAGACTACTCCAGGCTGAAATCCCGCCCATCGACGATGGTCGCCGAGAGCGAATCCCAAAGATATACTTCCGAGCAGAAGGAGACCACAAAGATGAGAACCAGGACAAGAGCGCATCGCAGAAGAAGGAGGGCAACGTCGCCTCTTACTCGGGTCTAGGCCACAAGGGCCCAAAGAAGGACCGCGATGAGACGAATTGGGTCAGATGGAGTAGCAGTACCGAGGTTGGCGACTTCATCCGAGACGCTGCGCGCGGCCGAGAGTTTGCAATTGGTATCGAGGGTTACAAAGAAGAGTTGCGGGTAGCTGTGCCGAGCTTCAATGACCGCACATACTACATGCGCGTTCGATTGCGAAGAATGTCTCGCCGCGTCGAGGAGTTGGCGAAACTCAAGCAAGAATGCGACACCCTTGCGCACCGTGGAGCACATCGCATGGCACAGGGAGGGTTCGGCCTCCTCGCCGGTTGGTGGGGAGTCGTATATTATGTTACCTTCCACACCGATGCCGGCTGGGATCTCGTCGAGCCAGTAACCTACCTGGCTGGCTTAACAACCATCATGGGCGGTTACCTGTGGTTCCTGTATATCAGCAAAGACCTCAGCTATAAAGCGGCCTTGAACATTACCGTCTCAAAACGACAGCAGGCACTGTATCAGGAGCGGGGCTTCGATCCCTCGGCTTGGGAGGCGCTCGTCCACGAGGCCAACTCGTTGCGTCGCGAGGTTCGGTTTGTGGCGACTGAGTACGATGTTGACTGGGACGAAACAAAGGATCTTGGCGGCGAGGAAGTCATGGAAGTTCTAGACAAAGAGAAGAAGGGTAGACGTCGGAGCGACGAAGACGAAGACGACGCCGAAGAAGAGCGAGCAGAGCATAAACGCAAAGAAGACAAGAAGAAGGAAAAGTCTGAAGATGGGAGCGAAAATAAGTCAGCATCATAGCCAGTTCCTAGAAACTTTTTCCAAGTGCGATACCCCTATATGAATATATTAGCCACATTCTAGCATGATTAAAACAAACACGTTTCGGAGGACCCTCGGGTAGCCCTGTCCTCGTTTCGCTCTGACACTGTGGATGTTCTGATGATGGGTGACTATTCTTTCAAAGACACAGAATGCTGGAGATGGCATGCCGTCCGCAAAGATCTGTCTGTTGTCGGGAGACTTGTCATGTGGCGAGGTGGTATTTCTCCAGAGTCAAATCGCGGGCACCGATCACCAGTTGTTGGGGGAAATATTTTCTCATGCTATCGAGCTCCATCGGGTGACCGACCACCAGACTCGGTGTGTTCCGGTAATACCTGCCGAGACGGGACGGATCGGCTTCACCGAGATGCTCCGCTTTCAACCGCTACGGCCCACCACATGCCAATTCCACAAGGCGTGCAAGGCCAAGGGAGCGAGGAAGGCCTTGAAAGGGAGGGGAGCTCTGACCCCCTAGGCGCCCAGACACCAAACTGCCCAACACCACCATCCCCGCCGCCGACGCCAACGGGAGAGCTTCACCCCACTTGGTTAACGCATCATCACACCACCACCCAACCAACAGGTCTCTGTTTGTCAGAATCTCGCAACCTTCCATATGGCCCTTCACTGAATGGCTGCGTTGACCTTCGAGAAGGGACACTAGAATCCATCCCCAGATCTGACGATACCTCTCCATCAACCGGGGGACATCAAGGCCTCGTCCGACGATCGAGTACAAAAGAACGACCGCTCGATATCACTCTGAGAAGTTGATCGACCCCGCCATTCTCCTCTTCTAGGCGTATCCCAAACGGCCACGACCCAACCCCCGATTGGACAAGAAAGACGCCTTCCTCTCTTGTCAGTCTGTCCTACCTCGCCGGGTCCCTAGGTACCCTACCTTGCCTTGCGTGCTCGCCCTCCGTCTCGTCCCCCTCCACCAGAAGCTAGAGCTTGGGCTACCAAGGTGTATCCGTACGGATAGAAGCGGTGCAGCTCCACCCCGCCGCCATGGCCCCCCAAATCATCCACCTCCCAGACGGACAGAAGTTTACAGTCACGCCAGTCTTTGCAGGCCTCTTTTTCAAGTCCCACGAGCTCAACACTCACAACAATCCTTTCCCCATCGGCTGGACGATCGTGCTCAATACCGAGGATGCACAACTCGAGGTGGATGGTGTCGACGGTGAGCAGGGCGAGGAAGACTGCACCCGCCGGCGGCACATACACAGCTTCAAACAACCCACACTACAGGGCGATAACCTCTTCATCTCGTCGATATCACAGCCTTCGAGCACCGAGTTCAAGCCCGCCGCGAGCCCAACACGCCAGATCGCCATGATGCTCTGGGTGACGCTCTATTGGTACTTCCATCAACCACAACCGTCACCTTACCTCACGACCGATGCATCGAGGCTAACGCCGGAAGAAGCGCGGCCGAAGGGTGAGTGGCGCATCAATATCAAGCGAGACGGGGTATTGCGGGGCAGAAACCTCATACCAAAGCTTGAGCGCATGGGACTTATTGCATCGCTGGACTCTGCGGTTGGGACGAACCTCAAGGATAACGGCGAGGAATGGTCGCAGATGTTTGTCTCGCGGCGCATGTTTTGGCAGATCCCGGGCCGGCTCTTCTTGTTCACCCTGCAGCGTACCAGTGCCGCATCGACAACGAACCCCGAATCGCCAAACGGGAGCAGGCCGACTTCACCTGCTCGAACCGAGTCGATTCACTCAAGGCATCATACGCCCATACACTCTCCGCACCAATCCACGGGGGGCCGTTTCGATGTCGACCTCCCCGGAGGACCACCGCCGATGACCATGGTCACGACATTGAACTTCCCCATCGGACCGTTCTATTCCAGTTCACATCTCCCAACGTATTACCCGCCAGCGCCTTTGATGTATACGGTCACCAACGGCGTGCGCCACCCCATCCGCAGGAAACCAGGCCGGATGGGCGAAGTCTTTTACTCGCGCTATGTGCCGAGCGTTGGGCAATATCTGTCATTTAGGGTAGCGTCACTTACACCAGAGCCTGTCCCATACCTTGGACCCCTGGGCCCCAAGCCTGTTGAGAATGGCCACCTCGCCAACCTCTCCGACACAGAGCTGCTGCAGTCGTGGCTGTCGAACCCGCGAGTACAGAAGTTCTGGGGAAACTACTCGCCAGACTTTTTGAGCAATGCGCTAAGCTCCAAGCACTCGTTCCCGGTGATTGGCATGTGGGACGGAGTGCCGTTTGGATATTTCGAGATTTACTGGGTCAAGGAAGATATCCTGGGCCAGAAGCTGGGGAACGATGCTGGGGACTATGACCGTGGCATCCACGTCTTTGTCGGCGAGGAGTGGGCGCGGGGACGGGTGCCGGCGTGGCTGACCAGTTTGGTGCACTGGTGCCTTACTGACGACTATCGCACGATGCATGTTTGTTTGGAGCCACGGATAGACAACGCGAGGTAAGACACTTCAGGAATATCGAGGGCGAACATAGCGGGCTAACTCTGGGGTCACAGATTCCTGCAGCATCTTCAATACGCGGGCTTTGCCAAAGAACGCGAGGTTGCGTTCTCTCACAAGCAGTCCTATCTGATGAAGTTGAATAGGGACGCCTGGGAAGGGCCAGCCTTGTGATGAAATGCGTAGGTTCCTTTCTATGAGAAGTCTTGGGAAATAAGTACAACACTATACAATAATATAATTGAAGTGAAGAAGTGATGGTGGATCGCATTACAGTGCTTACATGTGGTAGAGCCGATGTTGTACTCATGATGGATGATATAGGAGATACCCGATTTAAACCTCAGAATAGAGGCTAGAACAATCGAAAAAATAAAATAAACATGTCATTACGTCACATCGTCTTGCACATGTATCTATGAGATCGTGACCGAGATTCATCAGGTGCTGTTTCTCTCAGGTGAGCCGTGTAATTACCTAAGGTGCTTAACGCGACGACGTCACAGCGTAGTGCCCGAGTCGCGTGTCTGAGACGGGGGTTCCCAGTCCAGTAGCTTATGTGGGTCCCATTCCCTCCGACTACCTTATCCCGAGAACGTGGTTGGCTGCACGGCACGTGGGCGACATACCCCGGTCGAGTGCTGCGCTGAGGCACTGAGACAGCGGTTATCTTGTGACCGACGTCCGACAATCGAAACCATCGGATGCCAACGCCTCAAACCTAAACCTTTCCAAAGAACGACTGCTCGCGATCAGACAATTTGACCGCCTCTCCCGTCTCTCGATGCCGTCCTCTTTCTGGATTCAATAACAGCGCTGTGCGAGGGAACTATGACCGGCCGATCGCCTTCGTCTTCCGGCCTTCTTCCCATGCCTGGATCGCCATCGTCGTCTTGGGCAATGTACCGCGCCCGCTTATCTGCTCTCTTCCGAAATGCTGATACTCAGGTGATCGTGGCCTTTTGGCTACTGGGTGCGCTTTCTTGACCTCTTTGCGCTAGGTCTGTCTTTATGCTGACATGCGGGATAGGCCTCATCAACAATGTCCTCTACGTAATCATCCTCTCCGCCGCCCAAGACCTCGTCGGCTCGTCGGTCCCCAAAGGCGTGGTCCTCCTCGCCGATGTCCTCCCCTCATTCTTCACGAAACTGATCGCCCCCTACTTCATCCATCGCGTGCCCTACTCCCTTCGCGTACTGGTCCTCATCGCCCTGTCTTGCTCGGGCATGCTCCTCGTCGCCCTCACGCCGCCTACGAAATCCGTCGCCGTGAAGATGGTCGGCGTCGTCATCGCCAGCCTCAGCTCCGGTGGCGGCGAGCTCAGCTTCCTCGGGCTGACGCACTACTACGGCCCCATGAGCCTCGCGGGCTGGGGCAGCGGGACGGGTGCGGCGGGTCTGGTCGGGGCGGGTCTATACGTGGTGCTCACAGACTGGTGGGGCTTCAGCGTGCGGAACAGCCTGTTGTTCTCTGCTTGCTTGCCATCCATCATGTTCGTGAGCTTCTTCGTCATATTGCCAAAGGAGCCGCTCAAGGCGGGGCGGAAAGAGTACACGGTTGTTCCGGAGCAGGATCTGGAAGAGGAGGACGTTGAGGAGCTGTCGCAGAACGCCGCGTCGTCGGCTCTGCTTGCGCCGGGACCCGCGACCACTTCGACGGCGTATTCGGTACAGCACACTGATGCGCACAGCTTCCAACACAACTTGAAGAGGGCAAAGTCGCTTTTCTTTCCGTATATGCTGCCGCTTTTACTGGTATACATTGCCGAGTATACCATCAACCAGGGCGTTGCGCCGACACTGCTCTTTCCGCTGGCGTCATCACCGTTCAAGGAGTTCCGCGAGTTTTATCCCATGTACGGATTCCTGTACCAGCTGGGCGTCTTTATTTCGCGGTCTTCGACGCCGTTCTATCGGATCCACCGCCTCTATCTACCATCGCTGTTGCAAATCGCCAACCTCGTGCTCCTGACGTGCCACGCGCTATTTGACTTCATCCCGTCGGTGTACGTGGTGTTTTTGATTGTGTTCTGGGAGGGACTGTTGGGCGGCGCGGTATACGTCAACACCTTTGCGGAGGTCATGGAAAAGGTACCGAGCGAGGACAGAGAATTCAGCTTGAGTGCGACAAGTGTGAGTGACAGCGGGGGTATCTGCATTGCCGGGTTCGTCGGCATCGTCATGGAGGTGCAACTTTGCAACTGGCAGGTTGCGCATGGGCGGGATTGGTGTCGCAAGATCAAGGTTGGATGAGAGGAGACGATCAAGATGCTATTGCTGTGCAGCACCTGGGCAGCGGCCTGTGTCGAGCGTGGGGGCCCCGCGACTGGAGAGGGTTCTGGTACGATATCTTGCAAGGAGGGGTTGTCCCGTCGTCCACGATACAATCCGGGAACGGGCGCTTAGGTTACACGGGTTCGGGCCCGGGGGTTGGCCGGACGGGGGCGTTGATTAACGACGCTCAGCACGGCGTGACACGACTTTTATTCTCTTCCCTTTTTGATTCGAGAACAGTGTGATTCACTTGGGAGCGATCTGCATTACAGGCGTCAGCCACAGGATAGAACGGTCGGGGACTCCCTTGTCTCACTGGATTCGGCAACGCATGTCAATTGGGGAATAGCAAAAGACATGTGTGGACGGGCATGAAATCAAGCCAGGGCCCAGGGTGGTGAATGAGGCTGTTCCGACGTCAGACATTGTGCCACTTGCACGAGGGTCCACAAATACGTTTATAGGGGAGAATGGGCGCGCAGTCGCTTGATTTTCTGGCATGACTTTTTCCCCGTCTGGTTGAAGGAACAGCTGACACAACATGCCATGATGGGTCCCCCTTTCGTTTTTAATACCACAAATCATAAATGAGATCAATTAGAGGAATCTGACTGGCAAAGGACAGATGCTAGATTTCAGATTCAAGTTTCAGTGATTTGCTCATTGCACCATGATTCATGGTGGTTGAAGAGATTTCCCGGGCCAATCGGGCGTTGATACGTTTGTTCTCGGGAGGGTCCCGGGGGCTAACGTTAGGGACAACGCTGCATGGCAGACTGGACGGTATGTTCCAACGGCGTTGCACTGACCGCCGGGCGGCCATTTGTTTGCATTGTTTTTCAACTTGGCGCGGAAAAAATTCAGTAGGTAGAGAAATGGAAAGCTGAACTGATTAAAGTAGCTTAGGCGGACTTGTTCCGTGTCCGGCGTTGCTGCCACTTTACGGCGGTCAGCGGCGAGTGAGCGGCCAGCGACCAACCCGAGAAATTTTCTCATTCGCAGTCATTTGTTCTTCGGCGTCTTCTTGTATTAGCTCCCCATTCGCCTCGGGGTCTTAGTCTCGGTGGTAATTGTAGCCAAACGTTGATTCATGTAGGAAATGATATTTGTTATCCGCCACTACTCTCGGTCCATTTCCTTGAAAATTTCTCGCCTTCTCTACCGTAAGATCGCTTAAGGTGAGGCGTGCGGTCACCGGTGTAAGGCAGAGAAGGTAGTCACCGCTGGGCCTGTTCCGGTTCATCTTCGCCCAGAATTCTGAGTTCTCTTACACTGAGATTTGGATCTGGCAGTCTCTTTTGACCAAGATTCCAGGACTCGCCTTATCTGCACAACACGAAACAATTCTCCTTCCACTTCACCCCTGCTTTCATCGAACACAGATGGTATCATCAGCCCAGATACCTATTCTAGCAGTCACCGCTTTCTGGTCTGGTACTACCTTATACCCACGGCCTCCTCATCCGAATACACCTCCAAGCTCCGAATAGGCCTCAGGTCTCATTCACCTCATCTAGAGCTCGACCCTGAGCTTCTGAAGTGCCAAGTGGTTCTAGATTACGGATCCAATATCCGTCGTTCCTTCCCCCTGCAACCTTCCCGCGCCCCTGCCGCAGCTTCCATTTCCATTTTCCATCCCACCTTCGACCTCGACCTAAGGCTCGGCCTGCGTTGCTCGTCCGTTGCCTCATTCGGCTCTGACGACCCAAAGCCTGAGGAAACGGAAAGTGATACCACCACCGCCCTTTCCTCCTTCCCCTTGGAAAAGCGCCGCACCTCGACCGGACTTTTTATAGCTTCAACTTTTTCTGAATTCTTTCAATTCTTCCACCTTTCTACCACCTTTTCCTCTCTCACAAAAGGAACCCTCACGCTTCTACTCTTCACACCTCTTCCATTCACACATATTCACACCTGTAGGCGGCTCGGGCACAACTACACAATGGACGACACAGTCGAACACAACGACGGCATGGGTGACCCGCATCACGACGTGTCACATACCTCACCACAGCCCGCTTCCCTCATCACAGACCTAGCAGACCTAGACCTCTTTGAAGAAGTGAAGCCACGCACATTCCACCTCTTCAAGGACCTTCCGCCCGAGATCCGCACAAAGATCTGGCGTCTTGCGGCACCTAAGCCCGCTGTCGTGGAGCGCATATCCAACAGCACTACCTTGGCCTATGAACTTCACCGCCCTGTCCCAGCGCTCCTGCAGGTTTGCCAGGAGTCTCGTGCCGAGATGCTCTACGACCCTGAGAACCCGCGTGGTCTTAGAGATGAGCAGTTTGAGATGCTGCATCTCTCCAGAGGACACCAGGCGCAAGGCAAGGGTGTGTACATGAATTATCGTCATGATACACTGTTCATCTACAGAGGTAAGTTCTGCCTTTCACCCAATTACCTCACTTTCCCAACCAAGAAAAAAGGCATCAGAGACTAATACATTCACAGGACCTGCTCAGTCAATCATGCCCAGCGCTCTCTCCTTCATCAACCTCCGCCATCTCGCCATGGAATGGGGCCTCCGCCCCTGCTGGGTGCAGGGCCACTGCCACAAGGGCGCCCGTCTCCTCCGGCAGTTCCCCAACCTCAAGACGTTCACGCTCCTCGTCACCTTCCATCCCTTCAATACGGTACCTCTGGGCGAGTCGGGCAGAAAGCACCGCGAGCAGACGCAGAAGCGGCGGGCGCTCAATGAGATCAAGTCGTGGGTTCTTGGAGCCATTGATCAGGCTCTGGAGCAGGATGCTAATGCTCGTGCTGCTGCTGCTGCCGCTGCCGAAGCTGCTGCCAGCAATGATGCCAACGTCGATACTACCTCTGGCTCTTCATCTGAGCCTATATCCACAACTTCAGCTACGCCTCAGTCTTCTACACACACGACTGTGTCTCCGGCTATCTGGAATCCACCGGAGGTCAGAGTTGTCCCAAAGACAAAGTACTGGAGCATGCCGGCGTTGGCCTAGAACGTCCCGGACGACATTGCTTTCCAGACTGCTATCCATATCATAATCGATGGATCTCGGGCACTGGGCGAGGAAAACATGGATATATATTTCCCATGGGAAGTCATTAGCCGTGTTCCTCGTTAGTATATAGAAGGTTCCGTTTGCCAGCTTTACCTGGGGGTTCATGGGTATTAGCGGGGGAATGATACCCGTAAAGGAGGGAGAGGACGGCGGTTCCCACGGCACGGTGGAACTCATAAAGAAACGTGATAACCTGGATTACGGGGACATGAGGAAGCGTTGTTCTCTTCCTGGTTCTTTCAGCAGCATAGCATTGAGGGGAGGGGGGCTTGGCAAAGGGCCATGGCTTTGGGCTTGGGTTTTGCTTTCACGAGGGAAAAGGGCATGACTGCGATGGGGCGTTACTTGATTTTCTTTGATACCAAATCGATAGATGGATCGATTATACACAGCACCTCTCAGTTCTTACCTCTATGGTGGATTGATGAAAATAATGCCCTATCCTCCATAATTGTATTGTTCCGAATGCATTGAAACATCCGAGACAGGGCGTTGGTGAGAGCCTCAGGGCGGGATGCGACGCTGCTGAGTATGGTCATTCAGGGGAAGGGCCTATCACAGTACCGCTGCAAGTACGGCCCTTGGCCGACTTGGGGGCTTTGGTACAAAACAGGCGCCGTGGGTGACCCCCACGCCAGCCACACCAGCTGCGGAAACCAGAGCCAGGGCGCATCTTGGCAGAAAGTACGACGTTTGGTCCAAATTTCTCACCGCATTTATGTCGTGGAACGATTGTCTATCTTCTGGGACGGGATCCGTTGTATTGCCATTTCCGAGATCCAGGTACGGCAGGCACCTCGGTGCAGTTATCTCGTGCGAGTGCGAGGCGCGATAGGGACGGTTGTTCGGGAATACGATGGGTGGCTTCGGAGGACGGGGGAAGCTCGGTCGGATCTTTGGGTGCGGTATCCAGATGGGGTCTTTTCGGATTGTGTTGGTTCTGGTTTTTGATGGTCTAGGCTTGTTTTATGGGTCACGCTCTTATAGGGTACTTGTGAGGTATACAGCCTATTCTTCCTATCTAGGTCTGACGGAGGATCCGTACTCTGTTTGTTGCATTTTCACTTGCATCTGCACTTACATGCGCATCTGCAATGGAATCTGCTTGGCTGACAGCTTTGCGGAAGGAATGTTGGAGATGTGACCTGGCCGATGCACTGTCCCGCGATGAGTGGGCGTGTGAGTTGCTGGTGACTGCTGCTTTTGCAACACTCAGAATCTCCCCGTATGCCTGGAACATCATTTTTATCGTCCCTCTTGTCCTTTTCAAATCCATACTCTCGTTGGTGTTGTACTTCCATACGCACGCAAGGTAACTTAAGCAGATACGCATCAGGAAATCCGCGATGGACAGCAGCGTCTCGCTTGCCCATCGTACCGGGAGTAAGAACCGGGACTCCAACGAAAAGCATTCTGGAATCTCTCTTCGTTTGCTCAACCCGCTCATCGAATTGTTCTAGAAAGCTTCCACGCATGTTCTCTGCTATTCCTTCATTCGTAGAGATTTGGGGAAGATTTGGGGAAAGGAAAGGGAGGCATACTAACAAGGTGCAGCTCGGGGAAGGTGATGCACCTATGACGCACCTGCCCTCACCACACGCTCTTTCCCCGGATTCGCTCAAGCGTCCTGGTGTCGTCACCGTCCAATTGCAGGACAGCCTCCCAACATTCAACTTCATCGTATTGTCTAGCCCTTTTGACTCGCAATACTGAAGCCATTCACTGCAAACGAATCCTGTCGATAAGAAGAAACCCCAATATCAACAGAGACCGGAAGCATTAAGCTTCATCAAGATCACTATCTCTAGCTTATAAGTACACACACCCTCATCACGCCACAATGATCCCCGCAAGATCTCTCCCCCTTCGCCGCCTCGCCGCCGCGCGACCCGTTCCCGGCCTTGGAGCCACGACCCTACCAACCTTCACCGCGGCGCGCCGGGTTGGGGCTCAGGTCCGGTGGAGCACGCATAACCCCAAGGAAGGCGACCTCGGTGGACCCGGCGGGCAGGAACCTGTGCCGTCCACGAGCAGTGCCGCGCAGAGCTGGTGAGTGATCCCCGTCTCATGTGACAAGATTCCCAAGGGGAATCTTTGTGGTTGGATGTGTGTATCGTGATCCTGTGATTAACGTGTTTGGGGGACTAGGCCTACGCTGGTTGCTATTGCTGCTGTTGGACTCGGTGTTGGGAGCTATCTTGTTCATATGACGGGTAAGTCCAAGGGGCAGGGGACGGTGATGGAGAAGGGGGAGTTTGATAAGTTGGCGGAGAGGGTTGCATCGAGGAAGTAGAGACTGCTTGGTTGGTGATTGGGTCTGAATGGGTTCAAGCTTGGGTGAGGTTTGAGGGATGTTAAGGCCAAAAGCTGTAAAGGACCTGTGTAATTTCGAGATTGTAAATGAGCTTGCAGGCTTTCTGGAGAAAGATAGAGTCTTTCTAGAGACGGAAGCCGACTATCTGACGTTGAAGTTGAGGGATTCTGTTCATCTGATTCAACATTTACTGGTGGCGACAGTTCTACATACAGGACTTAAGGTAGGCATACTATACTCATCAACAGGTTGTCTAATATCACTACCTGTGACTTTGAAAACCTGAAATATGGACATCAAGACCGCATTTTTCCTCGCCAGTCCCCCGACGATCGTTTAATCACACTCGAGGCCGGTGCAAGACTTTCTGAGGAGCATCCCCACCCTAACACCACGTCGCCTTCAATATTCCTTCACGGGCATTACTGTTGTCAAACTTGATCTGTATTTGAGTGCGCCATAACTCTGAGTTGCCCGAGATAGTACTGGCACAACCCAAAACTACGGCTTTACCTGACTATTCGTCTCCTCAACTGCTATCCTATCTTACTCTGGATGAAAAATACGCTCTTCCAGCAGACGAGTGAGCTTACCGACTAATCTGGCCTCAAGATGGACCAAGGTAATAAAGGCTTACACCTCCTCGGTGGCTTTATCTCATGTTCTTTTGGCTGATTGAACTTGGTCCAGCTAGGAGTCTCATGAATTCTGTGGAGACATTGGTCTTTCGTCAAAAAGAATGTGTCTTTCCTGACCGACTTATTTACCTACACACAAGGTGTCGACTTATTTGGTAAAACCGACCGTCGGCCTCCAGAACGGATTCGCCCTCTATGTTTAGGGACTTAGGGGCATCGCGAACACCAGCAAGTGCTTCTCTCCAACTCTATTATGTGATACTTTGGATCAACGTTCGATTTGCAGGAGGGGAAAAAACTGAGTGAGCTCAAACCGGATAAGGAGGAAAAAGAGGCATAGCCGCAGTTCAATGTCTACGATGAGTTCTGCATCGTTTCTCTGCATCGTTTCGTAAAGGGGGACGCTGTAAATGATTGTGACACCAAGATCTACCGAACTTAATAGCAGCGGTATAAACCAAGCATGTTCGTCTCAAGTTCACTGCTCGAAGTTTCATTGGACATGGGTTCGTTCTTTCTTGATGTTGTTAGTGGAGCATCCGATGCTTATTGTTCTCTTACTTAAGCGGTAACTCATCCAGACCCAGTCGAGAAACCCACATCGAAAAGTTGTTTTCGGCCCTTTATTCATTCAACAACTCAGAAAGCGAGCATGACACACATGGGGCTTAGTATTCCCTTAATTCCCTTGATTGCTTAGAAAGCCATAGCTTAGACCCGTTGTTGCTTGTTTTTTCGAGGGTTATGCCCACCTTCTGTATCTGTATTTCCGTAAACCCGTGATTTCATCAGATAGAACTTGCATGAGTGTTGCTACGATCCACATATGCGAGATCCTTTCTTGATAGACATCACTTGGCGGATGCATTTGGCAACTGAGCTTAAAATCTAATCGCCGTACCTTAGCGCACAGCGCTATATCGAAGCGACTGTCCAGAATAGCACTTTGAGCATGAAAAGGCCTCCATTGCGTGAGGTTGCAATCGTTTTCGGGCATGACGTATGATGCCAAAGCTTTCCATGGTTGCCGTCCTCAATTTTGGACGACAATTGCCAAATCAGTCGCGGGAGCATGATTCAAACGTCCGCCACCCTGTTGCGCACTCTCCTCTCTGCTCAGCCCTCATTGGCCTTACGGGGCTATGCTGGTGAGCCATGAGTAGGAGCCCCCTGCAGGGGTCCCGCCGATCTACGTAGATATTTCCGCAGCGACGGGTTCCAGATCCCAGGAACGTTGGGTTTCTGATGGTTGATAAGCATCTCGCGCCGTCAACTACCGGTGGATCGGTCCGATCAGATATGCCCTCATTGCTCTCAGCGGTTGTCGACCGGCCAATGGCATTCAGAACCGCTGAGCCCCAATTGTAACTCGGCTTCTGCGGCTACGCCGTACTCCACCCTGCCGAGTCTTGAGTAAGTTGGCCCGTATGGATTGCACTGACGAAATGGTAGGGAGAGCACAGCTTTTTCGGTCAGCTCTCGGAGGGTCATCGCAAAATCCGGTTTAACGGGGATGGCAGCTGTTTGTATCCGCGCGGGTGACGTGATTGAGGGATTTCAAGAGCTTGGATTGGTTACGATATTGTTGAATCCTCTCCTTTGGTGTTCAATGATATAAACGCAGGCCTTCGCCTTCGAGACTTCGGCGTTGGCTCGATAACCATCTCAGTGAACATTCTTTTGCCGCACTTACACTCACTCTAGACTTCAACCTTGTACATACAGCTATGCGGGGCTTCCTCACCACATCTACCCTCCTCTCTGGAGCAGCGGCCTTGGCTGTCCGCTGTAACAACGGTTCCAGCAATGGCTACGACTACATCGTCGTCGGAGGCGGTACCAGCGGTCTGGCTGTTGCCAACCGTCTCTCAGAAGACCCTGCCGTGTCTGTCCTGATCATCGAGGCCGGTGGCTCAGTTTTCGACAACGTCAACGTCACCAACCCCAACGGGTACGGTCTTGCCTTTGGCACCGATATCGACTTTGCCTTCCAAACGACCAACCAGACTTTCGGCGGCAATTCAGTCCAGACTATGCGTGCTGCCAAGGCTTTGGGAGGAACCAGCACTATCAATGGTTTGTGGCGATCATCGATTAAGAAAGACTAGACTCAGATGCTAACGCCCAGAAGGACTGGCCTACACCCGCGCTGAAGCCTCCCAGATCGACGCATGGGAGCAACTTGGAAACGAGGGCTGGAACTGGAATTCTCTCTTCCCCTACTACCTCAAGAGCGAGCATTTCCAGACCCCGGAGCCCGCTCGTCAGGTTGCCGGTCGTCTCGAGTACGAGGCTGATGTCCACGGCGAAGACGGACCCCTCCTGACCGGCTGGACCTACGGCCAGACCAACGGAACCATGCCCGCCGTCCTGAACTCGACCTTCCAGAACCTCGGTCTGCCTTGGAATGAAGACGTCAACGGCGGAAACATGGTTGGCTTCTCCGTCTTCCCCCGCACCGTCGACCAGACCAACGCCGTCCGTGAGGATGCCGCCCGCGCCTACTACTACCCCTACCAGAACCGCACCAACCTCAAGGTCCTTCTGAACACCAGCGCCCAGAAGCTCACCTGGAGGAATACCGCTGCGCTCCCCACCGCTGATGGTGTTCAGATCGTTTCCGCCGATGGCTCCAGCAGCGTCGTCAAGGCCAACAAGGAGGTCATCCTCTCCGCCGGTGCCCTCGTCTCCCCTCTCCTACTCGAGCTCTCCGGCGTCGGCAGCACCAACATCCTAAAGCAGCATGGCATCAAGACCGTCGTCGACCTCCCCACCGTCGGTGAGAACCTCCAGGACCAGATGAACAACGGTCTCTCCTTCGACATGAAGAACATGAGCATCGACGGCACCCTCACCACCGTCGCCTACCCCTCCGTCGCCCACGTCTTCGACAACGCCGAAGAGGTTGCCGCTCAGATCAAGGCCGCCCTCCCCGCCTACGCCGCAAAGGTCGCCTCCGTCAACGGCAACGTCACCCACGCCTCGGACCTCCTGGAGTTCTTCCAGCTGCAGTGGTCCCTCATCTTCGAGTCCCAGATCCCCATCGCCGAGGTCCTTGTCAACGCCGGTTCGGGTTCCTGGAGCAGTGAGTACTGGGGACTCCTCCCCTTCGCCCGCGGCAGCGTCCACATTGGTGGCAACTCCACCTCCCGCGCCGTTATCAACCCCAACTACTTCATGCTGGATTGGGATCTGCTCGAGCAGGTCGAGATCGCGAAGTACATCCGCAAGCTGTACAGCACCGCGCCTTTCTCCACTTACACTGGAACCGAGACCCGTCCCGGCACGGACGTCGTCGCTGCTGATGCGGATGATGTCGCGGGCTGGGAGAGCTACATTAAGGGCAACTACCGTTCCAACTTCCACCCCGTTGGCACTGCTGCCATGATGCCCCGCGAGAAGGGCGGTGTTGTTGACTCCAGCCTCAAGGTCTACGGTACCGCCAACGTCCGCGTTGTCGACGCCTCTGTCCTGCCTTTCCAGGTGTGCGGTCACCTTGTCAGCACCTTGTACGCTGTTGCCGAGAGAGCGGCGGACCTTATTGCCAAGAGCTCGTAAAGAGGCTATAAGTTCTCAAGACGACTCGGTCGAATTCGACCATTCCTTTTTCACATTTCTCAGTAAATATTTTAAGCACAATTAGATGTTCATATCCATAGAGTAGAGTGTACAAAAGTCACTCGACTTAGTCAATTAAATTCGAGTTTAGATCGTATCTCTACATCCGCATGGAAACCAATCTCAGGTCGCTGAGATCTCGCATGACTGTCGAAGATTACTTACAGAAAGCCAGCCCCTAAGCAACGGTGTAGACAACCTTCTCTCCACTAACAGAACGCATGTGATCCTTCGGCGGCTCATTGACTTGCTTCGGACCAAAGAGCGGGATGCCTTCAGATGCGATGTTCTCGAGTCCTCCTGGCATCAGGCGAACCGGGTTTGCCTGCAACTTGACTTTTCCCAACGACGCTTCCGATCCGAGATAGTTGTAGAACTGCGTTGCAAACTCGAGGGCTTCGGGGTTGGCTGGAAATGTGACACCTGTAAATTGTCAATAAAGTAGGCCCATTGTGAATCATTTGGCAAAAAGCCTTAGGCCACGCACCTTGGTATTGGATCTCTACGCCAAGACCCTCCCAGACTGCACCTGTGATCGGCTTGATCCTGAACTTTGACGGATCAAACCCTGCTAGAGCCGGTGCTCGGAACACCGCCAGCTTTCCCTCGTTGACCAACGTATCATGCACACGTTCGACGGACGGAGACTGCGAGACCGCGTCTATGCCGTAATGGACTCCGCCACTTATGCCGCAGACTTTGCGTACCAATTCTTGCCAGTCAGCATCTCTGTAGTCAACTAGCTCGTCGTACAAATAAGGGGCTTGACGCAGCATGTTGTGTTTTGCGCTGCTGGCGGCACCGATGAGACGGATCTGAGTGCCGGAAGTTTTCTCAGCTAGGCGCACAAGCTGTGCGGCAAAGAGACCTAAGGATGTTGTTGCGCCGTAGATGAAGACGTTCACGGGCTCTTCGTTAGTGAGTTTGAGGTGGTCAAAACTTCGAGATTGGGTAAACGGTCCCGGGAGCTTGAGTCGGCTGAAGACACCTTGCGCGGCTGTAAGTCCACACAAACTGACAGTAGCAGCTTCTTGGAACGACATCCCGATGGGAATATTCCATGTGAGGTCATAGTCAATGACGACGTACTCGGCAAAGGCTCCTGGTCGGTAGTTGACCGAACAAGCTACATATCCATAGTCAGTATATCACTGGTCTGTTCAAACGTCTTGGGTTGTTCAACTGACCGCCTTGAACGAAGCCAGCCACATGTATTCCAATCTTGACACGGGGGTCATCGATGTTCTGGATGTCTGTGCCAACACTGGCGACCTCCCCAGCGAAGTCACTACCGATTACACGGTACTCTTGTGCCGCAATTGGCTTGTTTGTATAGAGCGCATCCACATGATTGAGCGCAACTGCTCTGACGCGGACGAGAATTTCTCTTGGTCCAGGTTCCGCAGTCGGGATATCTTGTACAGAAACGGAATGATCCTTCGGTTTTAAAATCAAGGCTTTCATCGCGGTGGCAGGGCTGCAACTTGAGGCTCAGTTTCGGAATGAATGTGAATATCGAGTGAAGTTTATTCAGAGCTTCTCCCAAATGGAGTATGATAGAATGTGTTTATATGACTACTTAAGTACCCGAGGTAGGTACCTGACTAATGGTAGGCATAGAATAAACCCAAAGCTAGGTCATACAATCGACTAACATGGCTTACAAATTTGATCTACTGATGTCGCGAGAACGAGAAAGTCCGTGGACTATTATGTGTAAACCCCGGTTTTCAAGCTGACGACGTGGACTTAAGCGGCCTGCTTTGTGAACTTAAGTCCGACCTTGTCTCCCACACACACAATCGGACCTTGCTTGAGTCAGTTCTCGCGAAGGCTAAAAAGTTGTATGCTTCTAGTCTTGGGAACCTTGAGAGATTGCCGCAAGACTTCACTGTGTAATCGCGTGTAGGTAAACAGCAACTTCAGAACTGAACATGCGATCTTCGACAAGGCAGTCCGCTGCATCCACCAGCCATGTTTGGCAGTCCTTGAGGGTCACCTTTTTACCTGACGTATCCTTGAAACTTATGTTAGTCAAGTATTCCGAAGGCATTGCGGAAGCAGATGTTTGCATAAAAGCACCTCTGACAACCTGCCTAGTAGGCAATCATACACTCATGAAGTGGTCTGTTTAGAGGAATCGCGGCCGTTAGGAAAAGTCGATCGAAAGTCTCACCTTGTCTTCGGCTGCATTCAAAGTCTTCCCGGGAGCCTTTGCCTTGTATGCACAAGCCTCGAAAGCGCAAACAGGCCTCTCATCAATCTCTTCCACTCCCCAATTGAGCATCGCGTCTTCGTCAAAGTGGCGAGCATCAACCCACTGCAGCGGGACCCTTTTTGTAGGGATGTCTGAAGTGTTTGTGAGGTCATGACTGCGTTTGACCTCGAATTTGAAGCCATTACGCACATCGCCGGTCGCGTGGATCTTGACACCGGTATCATCATCGGCACGAGAGCGTACAAAGTATGCCCAGTGGTCTTTGAATGGCGAGCCATTGTAGATCAGTAATTCAACCAAGAAAGCTCCAGGGGATCCTGTCGGGGGCACGGTTGGCGGCGGTGGGGCTGGAGGCGGAGTTCGAGCCTTTTCGACAAGCGGCCGGGGCGGAGATGGCGGAACATCGCCGGCATAAGAGAAGGACATTGGAAATAACTAGGGATGTTTTTGAGTGTTTTTAGTAAAGTTTCGCAATAGAGCTTATTTGATTCTTCAATGTTGAAGTTGAAAGTTCTTGATCCTGTTGGACACCTTCATGCACAATCAGGCAGCAACAGCAAACGCTACCGGCCCCAACATGATGTCTCAGGATTTCTTTGTTGCCTGGGGATCGCTTTAGCCACGCCATGCCATTGGCTCAGTGAACTCGTCCTGTAAGTGTAACCTTCATCGTCGTGTTTGGACTTTATATAACTAGGAAACGGTTAACGGGTGCAGTGTCGAAGGGACGAAGAAGCTATCAGTTGTTGTAGGTTCCAGGATACAGATTATGTTGTGAGGAGCGCCCGCGTTGAAATAGCGACGCATCCCTCTGCGGCGCTTACCTACGCAAAGATACCTGCAACACACTATTCTGGGCGTGCCTTGGCCGCCTGGCAGCCTAAGATTTATTCTCCCCAGATTCCGAGGCTCTACCGAGAATTTGTTCCCCTTGAGATCGAATTAGAAGATTCGGAAGCTTCACTACCTGTTTTGCAGAGTAGGTCGTCACGTAAAAGAGCCTTTTGTGAACTTTTTATCTGAAATATTGAGTCTATGAATCTACTAATTTGGTTGAGGATATCCAAAACAACGCTCGCTATATAAAACATGGCATATTAAGATATTGATATGATTTTCCCATGAAACATCAAACTGTAATCGTTGAGACCATCAGCTTATTGTGCCGCCGTCACCTTTCCCTTGGACTCCTTCTTGGGCTTGGACGAGCCGGAGTTCCACTTCTTGACGCGGACGAGGTAGTAAGAAATAACAGCAATGAAGATGTTGAAGAAAATGAAAGCCCAGACGATACCGAAGTTGCGCCAGCGCTCATCGTAGAAGATGTTGCTGCCGGCCAAGTACTGATCGGCATTACTGAGAGAGCAGTACCGGCAAGCCTCGGTAGCCTCGGGGTTCTGGAGCTGGCCGGGGGCGAGCTTGAGGTAATCCGTCAGGTACTCGCCGCATGTCTGATTGGCAGGCGGGTTGAAGACAGAGGTCTCGGTGGCGGAACAAGTGACGGGTCGGCCGGAAAGTTGGGTACCCACGATACCAGCAACCCAATAGGTGAAGGGGGACACGCGGTACATGAAGATCCAGAAGCCGGGGAGGGCAGTGGGTGACTGCAAGACACCGCAGAAGGTCAGACTCATGAGGACCAAGAGAGTAACCACACCTGAGGCGGTCTGGGCATCGGGGAAGGCAGCGATGGTCATGTGGGCGAAGGAGGACGCATAGATTAGAAGCTGGATGGCGTAGAGCATGACCAAGACCTGGCGGACGGAGCCCTGGATACCGATGATGGGGTAGTAAAAGCAAGCCCAGATGAGGATACCGGTGACAATTTGGTAGGGGATTTCGACAATGATGTTAGCGAACATGAATGCCTTCCAGGAGTAAGCCTTGCTGGGGCGTTCGCGGACCTCGTAAAGGGCGCGCTGTGTGACGAAGTGAGGCTGGATCTGCTGCACGATGGTGGAGAAGATTGTGATTACCATGAAAACACCAAAGACAACGTTTTGCATGCCGGCCATGGTACCATCGGCCTTCCAGAAGGAGAAACCAATGAAAAGACCTGCAGCGATACCAAGGAAGAACTTGGCGAAGACGTAGTTGGGCATGCGCCAGTACTGCTGGAAGACACGACCGGTGACCTCCATAAGCTGTGTGCTGAAGGGCATGGCAAACTCAGAGTGGGCACCAGCATCCTCGCTGCCAGCGACCTCCTCGTGCTGCTTCTCGAGGTGGATTCTCTCGATCTCGGCCTCGACGCCGTGGCGTTCATTGCTAGATTTCCAGACGCTGTGCCAGTCTTCGCCCCTGGAGTTGGTACCGTTGTTGACAATCTCGAGCATGTACTCAGCGGGGTTCTCCTCATCACCGCATCGGCGAGCGCCGTGGCCCTCGAAGTAGTTGAGAAGGGTGCGGGAGTTGTCGCCGATATCACCAAAGTAGACAGTCTTACCGCCGCGGGCGAGGAAGAGCAGGCGGTCAAATTGCTGGAAGAGGATGGCGCTGGGCTGATGAACGGTGCAGAGAACGGCTTGACCGGCATCGGCCAGCTTGCGGAGGAAAGCGCAGATGGCCCAGGAGCTCTGGGAGTCGAGACCACTGGTAGGCTCATCAAGGAAGAGAAGAAGCTTAGGCTTAGCTGCCAATTCGACACCGATGGTAAGAAGCTTGCGCTGTTCGACGTTCAGGCCCTCGCCGGGAACACCAACGACGGCGTCGGCAAAGTCGCGCATGTTGAGCATGTCGATAACCTCCTCGACGAAAGCGAACTTCTCCTCCTTGGAAACAGTCTTGGGCTGGCGAAGCATGGCGCTGAAGCGCAAGCTCTCGCGGACGGTGGCGGTAGCCAAGTGAAGATCTGAATAATGTTAGTTGAATGTTCAAAGAATGTTAAGAATGGAGAAGCTGCATACCTTGCTGCTGAACGTAGCCAGTCTTACGTTGGAAGCTGGCGTCAAGAGGCTTGCCGTTGACAAACATGTCGCCAGTGATGACACCCATGGTGGTTCGCTGAGCCAAGACATCGAGAAGAGTCGTCTTTCCGGCGCCGGAGACACCCATGAGGGCAGTGAGAGTTCCGGGCTTCACCCAGCCATCGACGTGGTCAAGCAGACGGCGGGGTTCACCCTTGATCTCAATATCGTAGACGACGTCTTTCCAAGTGAAAATATCCTTCTGGGGCGGGATTGAGTTGACGTTGGCCTCAGTCTCCTGGTCCTTGGGAACAGCCATCTCCTCATTGGTGACGCTGCGGTTGACGCCATCCTGGAGATGAGCAGGGACGCGGCCACGCTGGAAGACGAGAACCTCGGCGGCGCTGGTGGTGGAGGAGTTAAGCTCAGTAGCGACGAAGTAGATGATCATGAAGAAGAAGAGGAAGGCCAGCAGGATGCCAAAGTTGCGCCAGACGTGGGAGTAGTAGTACTGGTAGTTGGTCTCGATGAAAGCGTCGCCACTAACGGTACGCTGGCCAGCCACAGAGCCGACAGCCGAGCAGATCCAAGAGTCGCCAATCAGAGGAGTGTATGCGGGGATAATCTCGGAGCAGACGAACTCGCGGCCGTGGAACTCGTTGGCGATGAGAATCTCGAAGGCGTAGAAGATGGGGTTGATCCAGCGAATCCAACCAAACCAGTCAACCATCTGGGGAACTCTGATGACAAAACCAGTGTAGATGACAAGAGCCAAGACAAGCACACCAGCCAACATCATAGCCTGAGAAATAGTCTTAGTGATGGCTGCCATAGTTCTGAAGACGGCGCTCATGACGAAGGTGGAGATATAGGTGATCAAGAAGTACAGGAAGAATTGACCGGGTTCCCGACGAAGACCAGCGAGGAAGTACAAGATGAGGTTGAAACAGGTTGCCGTGACGAACTTGATCGGGATATCTGCGACGATACCGGCGATGGCTTCAGCTGATGGATGATAGAAGGCGTAGGAAGCATGCTTTTCGACAATGGGCCGCTGATCGTATAAACTGTTGATTTCGGAAATAGCAGTGAGAGCGTTCATGAGAATAGCCTGGAACAAGACCGAACCCTTGGAGTAAAAACCTGAAGTAGCGTCAGGAGTGCCGTAGAAGACCGAACCGATGATGAGAGCCAAGATGATGTTGAGAACAGCCGCTGTAGCTGTAGCCGAGATATCGTTCCAAATACGCTGGTAAGCGCGCTTCGTGGTCAGTCGCACTTGCATCGCCAAACTGATGAGGTAAGGAGACTTGGGGCGGACATGCTTTGCCTGTCTGTCGTTCTTCTGCTGGCGAAGCTCAGTGAGAGCATGACCGTGGGGATCAATCGGGTTCTCGTCGGTGTGCTGCTCGATCTCCTGGCGGAGAGCTTGGTACTCGGGAGATGCACGCCAGTATGCCTCAAAGTCCTCGGGGGTTCTGGGAACCTGGTTCTCCATGCCCGGACGAGCCTTGCGCTCGATGGGGTTGGTGACCGAGGTCAAGAAGTCTCCTGTGGTCTGACGCTGGGGGCATTCCCAACCCATGCGCTCGAAGTAGGACTTAGCAGCAGTGGCAGGGCCGAAGAAGATCTGGCGACCTTCGTAAAGAACGACAGCCTTATCGAAGAGGTCATAGATGGCCTGACTGGCTTGGTAGATGGCAACAGCGTTGGCACTGCCGGTGAAGTCGGAGGCAAGGCGCAGCGACTGAACGAACTTCAGAGCGGTCGCGGAATCCAAGCCACGAGTACTGTTATCCCATGCGCACATGGGAGAGCCAGCAAGCATCATCTCAGCGATGGAGACACGCTTTCTCTCTCCGCCAGAGACGCCACGAACGAAGTCGTTTCCGACCTTGGTGTTGTAGGTGTGGCTGAGACCACAGACTGCCATAACAACCTGGGCTCCTCTCTTGTGAGCCTCCTCGCGACTAAGACCCAAGGGTCTGTTGGATGGTGTGCGAACTGCGCCGGCAAATTCGAGTGTTTGACCGACGGTAAGATGGGGGAAATGTTTGTCAACCTGTGTCGAACGTTGTTAGTGAATATCAAACAAAACATTGGGGCGTGGGAACGAACCTCCTGATTGTAAACGGTTTCTCCCTTAAACTCCTTCATCATCTTCTTTTGTGGAATGCCGTTGTAGTGGATGACGGACTCGTCTCCAATGCTCAGACCCTGGAGTTCACCAGTCATCGTCTTCAGGAGTGTACTGCATCCAGAACCAGGGCGACCAAGAACGATCAAAAGCTCGCCGCTCTTGAGCAGGCCATCGAAGCTGTTGAGAATCCTTTTAGGCTCCTTCTTTCCGAAGCTAATGTGCTCGCCGATTCTGAGAGGTGCTTGAAGGAAGTCACCAACGGTCTGTTGCAGCTGCAAAGCAGCGCCAGTACCAGAAACGTTGAGATCCTTGTAGGCGACACCAGCATGCTTGAGGGTGATACCCTCATTCTGCATGGCTCGCATGAAAGCCTGGAGCCA